TATATGCATATGAGTGTGTTCAGTTGATAAGGGAGAAACAAGAAGGCAGAATTTATTTTTGAAGTTATTGTGATCAAGTGTTCTAAGAACCATCCTGCTGGAAATGAAACATTTGGTTGTTGTGGCCGCTCCATCTAAAGTAAATTAACGGAGACGTGTTTTATGATTACTTATGAAAGAGAACCACCACGTTTCAATGGTGCGACTGATTAATTCGTGGGAGGACTCGGAGTGTGATGGCTACAGAAATCCGCAGTCCTCCAAAACGACTTTATCATCAGAGGACTCGGTGCTACGAGTGGCCCTGCCACCAGAAAAATGTACGGCACCGACCAAACCAAAAGACTATTATTACGACATGAGTATATTCAAACGATGGTTTGAAAGAAAGAGACAGAGAAAATCCACAAAAATCACTGGGTAAGGAATCGTCCGTTATTTTTCTTAAAATTTACAAAATATTGATTCATTGCTGTTTATGCCTTGGTAATATTGTGTTATTTGGGCTTGTAATAAAAGGTGAATCATTGGGGTTAAAATCAGAATGTGATAGAATGGCTGTAAAGTATCTACATAAAATGGCTGAATGGTTTTATGTAAATTCACCGAGTCAGAAAAGGTTGTAAAACAAATTTGGTATTGGCAGGTCTGTTTGAAGTTCTCCCTTTGTAATGGTTAGTGGATGTTGGGAAATCATAAAATTCCTGTTTATTTTTCTCTAGTGATGCTTATCATTACGCAGTAATTTGGAACTTCAATATCTCTCATAATTGATTTCAGTGAAGCTTGCTATTTTCCATACAGCTGATTATGTGATTGAGATCATAAAACACAAATGATTCAATCATGAAAATTTCAAACTATTGACTACGGTCATAAATTTCTTCCTATTTTGGTTTTGCTTCGCTTTATTCCAAATTGATAATTCACAGCTCCGAGTAATTTCCTTTTGCAATTTTGTCATCAAATGTCCTGCCTTTATTATGTAACAGTAATAAACTGGTCAACTTTGATTAAAATTATTTTACAGTATTTTAAAACATTATTTAGGATTCTGTTTCTAGGAAATCAATTTTACACATCTGATTTTGCTTAATACATATCTTGCTATCATGAGAAATGCCAAGACTTCTCTTGTACCAGATAGAACACATATTGCATGCAGAAGATAATAGATAGGATAATATTGGTTAACCCACAATTAAATTAGCAAAATAAATAAGTTAAGCATACATTTTTTTAAATTCAGAATTTTACAAATATTTAACAGATATGTCCAAGAAAGTGATAAAAAGTTGTCCAAGAATATGTTTATCTTCGCATCCAATTTTTTGTGTGTGAATTAGTGAACAAATATAGCAAGAATTAAAAAAAAAATGAACAGAATTTTTCATTCACTTCAGTGATGATAAAAAGACAATTTGTCTGTGACTGAAAAAAAAAAAAAATTACATGCCAAAGTGGAGTTGTAAGATTGGATAAAAGTGTGAAAAAAATTATAATGTTTGTTTTATTTTTATTTTTTTTTTTTTTTTTTTTTTACCTAGGAAACAGTTGGAATATTGAACTAATGTTTTATGTCTTTAAGACCAAACTAAGCATGAAAAAATAAATGATTTTAATGGCAAAGTAACTGCCCATAAAATCAGATATCATTCAGGAAGAAACTCAGAGATAGTTGCTTCCTTTATCCTATGCAAATCTTTACACCTTAAATGGTACCAGTAAGCATTTAGAGGATGTTGGAAAATTTAAACCCTACAAAATTAAATGTTTTCTTTTCAAATGGATTTGTTTGCCTGTTGGCATGAAATGTTTACTGAGAACATTGCAAAGTTATAAAAACGTGTAGATATTCCTATGCTTAATCTCTTATGAAATTTTAGGTTTCAAAAAAGAAAATGATTTGAAAAAGTAATTTCCATTGTTTTGTAACTTATCAAAATTTACCTACCCATGGGATATTCAAAGCAAAATGATTTATTTGGAAAAATTTCAAATATTCAAACTGTTTTGAGTCACACTCTAAAAATCCTACATTTTACAGTTTCACTATTTTGAGGGAGCAAAGCGATAAATTTAAAAATATGACAGTAGAATCATAAGTCATCTGATTCATGTTATGATTGATGTAGAGTGACAAATTGTTACTTCAGAACAATCTAGCATTAACAAATGCAGGGTCTTGTCAGTGTTTTATGACATGCAGGGGTTGAACTTCAAGGGGGAAAAGCCCTTTTCTTGTGTCACTCTTGCAGTAAGAGACGGTAATGTTTCCCGGCTTTCAGTCACTGGAATTTGATTCATTTATCTGATTGTTGACATTCTTTTTGTCACAGGTAAATCTGTTTCCTTTCATTAAATGTGAAATTGAGTGTTTCTGAGATACCAGGTCGCAGTCAGCTATCTTCTTCTTCATTTCATCTCCTCCAGGGGGTATTAGTTTATAAGAACTGGAAATGAAAGTTTTTGAATCAATTTATGTCAGCATTTGGATTCTGCAAAAAAAAAAAACAAAAAAAAAACCATCCAGCTTCAAGAGAGAACCATCTGGAATCCTTTCAAACCTATCTAGATTACAAGCATGTAAAAGTAAAGATTTTATAGGCATACTTTACCAAAAAGAAAAGATAAAACTAAATAATTCAATAATAAAATCAAAGTTCAGTAAACCGTTACACCCATTGTAACCTATTAAGAGCATGTTATGCATGTTGACTCATTGGAGGTATTTTAAGGGATCTTTGGGGCTCTTTTGCTGCTGTATTACACTTTATCCTTCATACACATGCTGGGCATATGTTAACAGTTTTATCTCTCTCAAAACACAAAGAAGAAAAACACAGAATAAACATACTTCAGGGAATTAAACAGAGAGAGGATTATAAAGACTTTTTTTGGAGTGTTGGGGTAATCTAATATTCTCTTCATGGACAACAGGGATGATCTTTTTAAGTCGTAAGAATTTCCCACCAAGAGTCATTGAGTCGATGACTTGTACGTAATGAAGACTGGAAATTCAGCTGTCTGATACTTTAACTTAAAATAAATATCCTCTCTCAAAAATCAAACTTAGGAAATGAGTAATGGGTGTCCTAGTGTTGAAATTTTAATAGGTGTATAAATTTCTTGTAATTAGTGAAAGATGATGCAAACGAGGACATCTTAATTAGGTGCTCACTATTTCAATGACCTTCATAATCCACCTTATAATTGCATTCCTGGCTGAGAGGTCTTTTTTCTCTGTAATCCTTGAGTGTCATTGATCTAAGCTGTTCTGATTGATTCCCTTTGTTGTGGAGTCACCTTAAAACCATCGTCCTGATTTATTTTAAGAGTATTGGGAGAGATTAGACTAATGATCAGCCATCACTTAAGAATTATACGTATGTAGCACATGTGTAAGAATGACACAGTTTGTGATGTACAAAAAATGGTGAAACTGATATCAGGCAGGTAAGAAATTTGAACTTCTATATCTGTTGATGTTGGAAATCTTTAAGTTTGCTTTGTTCACTGACTGATAAATAATAATATGTAATAAGAAATTCATTGTGCTCTGGGAAAACAACTTTCAAATCTAAGGAAATTTGTGTTTAACTCTTGGTGTCATCTTGCTTCCATTTAAGCCATATTTTTTCATAAGGCTGTATGGCCAAGAAATATATTTGGAAGTAAAAATAAGCCTGATACTTTTTATTTAATACAAGTCTGATTTTTGTAATGATTACGTGTTTTGGTTGCCACACATTTTAAAGGATGCTGACTGATGCTCATCTTATCTTGCCTGATTATGTACAAAGTTTTGACAGCATGTTAAAACGTAACTGAGATGGAGTGTGGCAGCTTTAATTTAACCTTCATATATCTGCTTTATCAGGAATTTGATGGAGATAGCCAGTTTTTTACTAGTGCTTTTTTTTTTAAATTGTGGAATTCTTTGCAAATTTTTGGCATGTTGATTTGAATTGAAAATGGGACAAAATACAAATGATATCATGGATCAAATGAATGAGTCATAGGCAATAAACAGGCTTTAAATAAAATCAGAAATTTGACCAATGTTGTAAATCATATATTAATAGTCATTAAAAGGTTTAACTATGTTCAGTGGAGTGATGGATTGAAGGCAGGTAATGGTAGAACTATAAAGCTTTTATATTCTTATGAACCTTCTCAAATATCTTCTGAATATGAATTTACTGCTTTTTTACTGTCTAGTTGGGGAGAGATATCCATTTTAATGATTTTGTAAAAATAGATCTAATGGCCTTTCTGTCAAAGTCTTATCCTTTGGGATTGCATGTCAGCTACAATGAGCCTTCAACACTCTGTGTCTCAAATGCAAATATGCAAAAGCAATTGCAAGATTATACAGTTGGCATAAATAAAAATATGTTAATGTTCATTGGCTTGACTTTCACATCAGTATGTCAAGCTGATATTAATTACTGATATTTAACATTAATCATACAGGGGTCAATTAATGTGCAGGACAAAAATATAAGACATATTACAGTGAGAGAAAGTGAACTTGATGCAGTAGGGTTTAGAAGTCTGCATTAAATATTAATGCAATCAATGGGATAAAAACCAGATACCTTCGCACCGGAAATGAGATGGGGGTCTCGTAACACTCAAGTGATTGACTGCAACCAGTTCTTTTTTACTCTCTCAGCTTTGCGTGTTTGAATGTTAAGTAGAAGACATGAATGGAGGCATAGTGTAGATTCTCTCAGCCTCAGTAGAGGTGTTGTGAAAAACGAGCGTGGTAATGTGGGAATTATGTTTAGATTCATTGCCAAAGGAAGTGACATAGATAAAAACTATGTGAATACTACAATAGCTAATAGTGAAGGCGAGAAAAAATGGAGGTAACATATTGATTGATTGAGATCAGAGTCATTGATCTTGTTACAGGATGTTATAAGTAATAACTGGCGTAAGAACAGGGACATTTGTATATGATGTCGGTATTATTTTGTTGTTTGTGGTTACAGGTTAGAGTCCCTGATGGGTCTGGACAGAAGTCATATAGAGGATGAGACATTACGACATTCTTCTTGGTACCAGGCCGGAATCCCAAGGTGAGCTCTTATGTATAAGGTTAAAATATAGGGATTTCCAATATCAGAAATATTTTTTGAACATTAGTTGATTCTAATTGTGGCACAGTATTGCCAGATGATGAAATGTTTGGGACAACATGTATAAAATTGATATTGTTTTAATTCAAAAGCAACTTTATTGATTTATATTGCAGTATATACTTTATTTTGAAGTTATTTTTTCTGAAAAGGTCCAAGGAAAAATAACTTGATACATAACTCTAGGGCTAGTCTATAAATTTGTGTTAATTGAACTTCAACACATTTTATGATGCACTGTAAAAACTGTACACAGGCTGGTAAGGGAATTTATATGTCCCATGACATTTTGTATAGCACAAGCATGATTGTGTGCTAATGGATCTAAAACAATTTTAACTTCCGACCATTACATTGAATTTGCTATTAAATAACAATGTAAGGTCAAATTATGAAAACTCTATAAATGTCATATTTCCTGTTCTCAATTGTGTTTTTATGCTGCTACATGTATTGACTTATTGATCCAGAATTCTGGTGTGTCTTAAAATGATAAAAAAAAAAAATGTCTCTGCATGTTTGATTTATTTGAAATCAGTTTGCATTGTTATATTTAATGAAACAATTCCTGACGTGATTATGTATGATTTTGTAGAGAGATAGCCCTTGAGATTCTACAACAGGAGGAGATTGGCTCCTTCATTGTGAGGGACAGCTCCACCCATCCGGGCTGTTACGCCCTGTCCGTCCGAGTGCCAAAATTTGAAAATCCCACAGGAATATCTCACTATCTCATACTGAAAACACAGAGAGGAGTCAAATTAAAGGTAATCAAATCCCACAGGAATATCTCACTATCTTATACTGAAAACACAGAGAGGAGTCAAATTAAAGGTAATCAAATCGAACAGGAATATCTCACTAGGAATATCTCACTATCTCATACTGAAATCACAGACAAGAGTCAAATTAAAGGGAATCAAATCCCACAGGAATATCTCACTACCTCATACAGAAAACACAGTGGGGAGTCAAATTAAAGGTAATCAAATCCCATGGGAATATCTCTATCTCATACTGAAAACAAAGTGGGGAGTCAAATTAAAGGTAATCAAATCCCACAGGAATATCTCACTATCTTATACTGAAAACACAGAGAGGAGTCAAATTAAAGGTAATCAAATCCCACAGGAATATCTCACTATCTTATACTGAAAACACAGAGAGGAGTCAAATTAAAGGTAATCAAATCCCACAGGAATATCTCACTATCTCATAATGAAAACACAGAGGGGAGTCAAATTATAGGTAATCAAATCGAACAGGAATATCTCACTAGGAATATCTCACTATCTCATACTGAAAACACAGAGAGGAGTCAAATTAAAGGTAATCAAATCCCACAGGAATATCTCACTATCTGATACTGAAAACACAGACAGGAGTCAAATTAAAGGGAATCAAATCCCACAGGAATATCTCACTACCTCATACAGAAAACACAGTGGGGAGTCAAATTAAAGGTAATCAAATCCCACGGGAATATCTCTATCTCATACTGAAAACACAGTGGGGAGTCAAATTAAAGGGAATCAAATCCCACAGGAATATCTCAATATCTCGTCCTGAAAACACAAAGGGGAGTCAATTTAAAGGTAATCAAGCCATGCTCTCAATCACCACATGCTGCTTAATTGAAGTACATCTTAGATTAGTACAAGACTAAGTAATTATAATTAATTGAAGTTATCTTAAGTGCATTCTTTTTTTCCCTACCCGTATTAGCTAAGATTGATTTTGGAAGTAGAATGAAATGAAGTCAATGCTTTAAATATTTTTCAGGGTTTGGAAAAAGAATGGCCTGACCTTTTAGCACTAGTGACACATCACACAGTGATGGCAGAAATGTTACCGTGTACATTAAGACTTCCTCACAAATCTAAAAATCCGGCCTACAAGGATTCGGAGGACGGCAAGAAAGAGGACGACCCAGATTATCAGAGACTGTCGGACTTCACGTCCATGATGGCCGCTCTCAAAAACTGAAAACACTGTATCATTTTCACGTGGGCTAAGTGTAATCAGATCATCATGTTGTTTATTTTATTTATTTGTTTTGTTGACGTCTGTTCCTGTGGCCTTGTATGTTAATAGTTAGCGTTTTGTTTGTGATGATATTCAATGAGTCAGTAACAGTTTGTCCTTAAACTGTTGTAAGCTGCAATTTTTTTTGTTTTTTTATCATTGGATTTTTATCTGCTCACATGAATCCCAAATGGTTGTCTGAAAATTTCATTGGGACTTTTACTGCTGAAGTGAGTCACAGAAACAAGTGTCCATTGTGCCAGATTTACATTTTTAATGTGAACATCAGAGATGCTGAATAAACAGTACGACACAGAAGTCAGCTATTGAGGGAGATAACTTTGAATGTTTACACTTTATAGTGCTAATTGTATTTTTTTAAGGACACAATTTTGTTCAAGTTACACAACTTCCTGATTCCTCACATAATTCATAACACAGACTTTGGTTGAATTTAAAGATTGTAAAGTATAATTTTTATTTTAAAATTCAGTCTTACCATTTTAATGAACAGACAGGTTATATGAATTTAAATTATGGGCATTCAATGATTAGGGTAGACCAAGGCATTAGTAATCTTTTTACATAATGTACTTTTGATCGTAATAAATTGTCACTAGGGAAAGTTTACATATACTAAATGTTTTAATCACATTGAGAGGTTGTTGAAGTAAACAATTTAGTGGCTTACTGTATGAACATTTTTATGGTGCTTGATTAATGTGAAGTGTATTTTACAATTCTTATGTTTATAGAATAAAAGTAATACCAGCATTGAGTGATTGATTTGCATCATACACAATTTTAACTTTGTTTACAAATAGGTACCCCCCTTTTATTGAACTGGTTGTAACAAAGTAATAATTACTGCCTCTCAGATTTGGTCATTCCATGTTTGAATCTTCATGTGCTTGTCTTCCATGGAATTATTTGCAATAGTGGGTTGCTTGATTGAACTCAACCAAAGCTTTATTTTTTATGTTTGATGCTGTAGTTTTACTTTTGTGTATATATGATTGGTATGAGGCAGTGCACTGAGTTTGTTAGATATACAAACTTTGCTTCAGCCTTAGCAAACTGTGATGCAGGTTTTATGTAAAAGTTATTTTGTGATTCAGATTTGTTACAAAGTATTATGGCATCTTGCCTTTAAAATGAATATTTATCAGAAACATCAGACTTCGTGTTTTATTTAAAAAGATTGTGGACGTGTTGGCAACAAAAGGAGCAGTACCTTTGAAAATGATAGTGGTAAAAGTAATACAGATACAATTAAACTTGATACCTATCTGGAGGAGTCAAATCATTGTGATACTACTGGAGTTTAATAGAATTTATTAAAAAAAAATGGAATCTATGAGGTACTGGACAAGTTTACAGTAATTTGGAGGCCTGCTTAAACAGAAATTCTCTGGATTGAGTTGATTTCCCTGGATATAAAGAGAGATAACCTGTACACGTTTTTAACTGCATTTTAGTGTTAAAGCCGCTTCATCCGAAACAGGCACATATTATCTTAAACAATAAAAGTATGTCATTACATAGATAATATATAAAAATTGATTATAAGATTGATTTAATAGTTTATTACAACAATCCTTACATGGAAAACATAGACCAAAAACCTTGTTGACAAACAGCAGTTCCTGACGGGAAGTTAAGATCTGTTTTGAAGTCACCTTTGAAAAAAATACTTTTATCGGTTATATCTAATTATGAAGAGAATTCAAACCCGAGTATTTTTTTCCATTAATAGAATCCTAAGTCATGATATATCTTTTAAAAATTAAGAAATTAACTGAATATAATCCATAGTAATTTTTATATTAATATGCATATTTATAGAATAAAGGATAATCAGATATTTTTTTTAAGATGTTTTTAAAAGGGAGTTTAGTAACAAGTGCTAGAATATTGCCCGTGTACACTTTGTTGTGGAAAAAATGCTCGGGTTTGTTCTTCATAAGTTATACATGTAAGCGATAAATTTAATTTTTCGAAGGTGATTTCACGCAATGTAAACAAAGGGTTATTTTTTGTGTGACCTAACAAAAATTATTTTTTAAAACTTTTGAATTTTGATATCTTTAAAAAGAAAAAGACTTTGGGGATATAATTTGACAAAAGTTGAAATAATTTATGGACAATTATTTTTCAAGAAGAAAAACGAATATATTTTTGTAGCGATTAGAATCGGACCAAGCGGCTTTAACCTTATTCCCCATAGAGTGTATCATTTTTTTTTATAAATTATGTAGCCCCCCCCCCCATGTCTGTACATCTGGGGCCCATTTTACAAAAGAACTTATGACTAAGTCCAAAAACTTCAGATGATCGTAATATTTTGCAAAATTAATAGTTTTCTTCAAAATTATTTGTGTAAAAATATCTAACTACATTTCTTTTAAAAATATTAAAATAGATTTCGATATAATTTTTATTGAAAAGTTATATGAAAAATTAAATTTGGTCGTAAGTCCTAAGTCTAATGTCTATAATGGCAAAGTCCATGTTTTGCTATGGAGACCCAATATAATGCCCTGTTCACACGACGAGTTTAATTCGCAGTAAATTAATGCGGAGTAAACTAATGCGAATCAAATTAAAGCGAATTAAATTGCGTTCACACGATAGCTAATGCGAAGTAAACTAATGCGAATTAAATTTTTTCTTCTACAGTCAGGCGTCAGTAAGTCTATTATGACGTCATTTGTAAATCACGTCACGTATGCAGAGCCCATCCTATGATCCATCATGTAGTGGCTACAGGTATTCATTGATTTTAGTGATTAACATACTTTCCCTCAATTTTTTAACCAAATGTAGCACAAATACCTATATGTAACCACCAACACGTGTCCTGTGACTTAATTATGGCCTTACGCATGCGTCAAAATTTAATTCGAATTAGCTTCGCTTAGCGTTCACACGGAGCTAATGCGAAGTAATTTAATGCGCAGTAAATTAATTCGAATTAAACTAATTCGCATTAAATTATCCGTGTGAACGCTAAGCGAAGCTAATTCGCAGTAACTTTACGTTTAATTCGAATTAAACTCTCCGTGTGAACAGGGCATAAGTGTCGGATCAAAAACTATGTAATAAGGTATTAAATTTCATTCAGTGGTATTGGAGGAGTTTGGGATAAGAGATAGGTACCCCAATGCGTAACAGACAGACGTACGGACATCACGATCACTATACAATTGTGTGTATACCCTCCCACTTATCAAGCGGGGGTATAACTATATAGGCACTGTGAGCACTCACTAAATGATACCCCGCCTCTCATATGATTAAATAGAAGGTGCACAGTGAAATTATGTAATAAAGCATCTTTGAAAGGATTGTGAAATTTTATTTAGTGGTATAGGAGGAGTTACAGATAAGAGATGGGTACCCTTCAATATTATAGAAAGAAAGGCAGTGTCCATGCTTTGCCAAAATTAAAATAGGAGGTGCACAATGGTAATATGTAACAAAGATTTAGTGAAAGTTTCATTGAATTTCAATTAGTGTTATAAGAGGAGTTGCGGATAAGAAATGGTTACCCGAAAGCACAGGCGCTTGTTTCATACAATAAGCTTAGTTTTCTACTATATAATACGGAGATCCCGATCACTATATACACCCCTCGCTTCTCAAGCACAGGTGCTTGAGGACAGCCCCCCCCTCCCCCCCATTATAGACCCTCGGGCCTTTTCGATTTTTTTTTTCTTAAACTATCCTTAAGTAACATATTTGTGATGTAATCCATACCATCAAACCGAAAAATTACGAAAAACAAACAGTTTATAAAAATTCGTATCCCACTATATATAAAAATAACAAGGTTGCCAACTTCGTCTGTCATCCGAGAGGCACTGCCTAGGATTTTTTTTTAGGTGCAGTATAGTGGGATACGAATTTTTATAAACTGTTTGTTTTTCGTAATTTTTCGGTTTGATGGTATGGATTACATCACAAATATGTTACTTAAGGATAGTTTAAGAAAAAAAAAAAAATCGAAAAGGCCCGAGGGTCTATAATGGGGGGGGGGGGGTGGGTCCTGTCCTCAAGCACCTGTGTTCTCAAGCGGAGGTATAAAAATCGGGAAACGTCATTTCGAATTTCTGTAGTATTTGGACAAGAAGGAGGGGGGAGGTTGATCGGCATACACAAAGAAAGATAACCGTGTATGCAGGTCAATTGTGTCCCACAGTTCACGTATTAAATAATTTAAGCGGATCGTACACTTGTACCAGGGACATAGAAGTAAACACGATGCAAAGATAGAAATGGTCACGTGTCATTTTATACTGGAGAATTTTCAAGGTAACGTACTTTAATTTGGTTTGTCTCTTCCTTGTTTGTGCCATAGGTTCTCATCTTTATATTTTTCTTTGTAAATATGTGACAAAATTATATTCACGACTGAATATAGCTAGTATAAAAGATGTACTGTGTATTTTAATTTACCAGTTCACATGGGGAGTGTCTGGTTAGTATGTTAAAATATATACAGATGTAGATGTATTAATTGTTCCATTGAACTCTAGGAGCGATCACAGGGGCTTGTCACGAAATATTTATATTCTTTTAATAAAGTTACCCCTACTATAAAAACACACAGTGTATTTTTAGTTCTACTGGTCAGAAACCAGAAGAGCTTATGCGATAGTAATGCGTCCGGCGTCCGTCCGTCTGTCTGTAAACAATTTTTCAAAATGCTACTCCTCCTACAGTTTTGGTCTGATTTTGATATAACTTGGCATACAAGTAGACTACACTAAGATACATAATTCTGTGCATCGGTTTTTGATTTCAATGAACAATGTTGCCATGGTTACTAAAAATAGAAATTTCTGTGAAATTCTTTCAAAATGCTACTCCTCCTGCAGTTTTAATCTGATTTCAGTATAACTTGGCACACAAGTAGAATACACTATGATACATAATTCTGTATATCGTTTTTTGATTTTGATGAACGGTGTTGCTGTGGTTACTAAAAATAGAAATTTCTGTGAAATTCTTTCAAAATGCTACTCCTCCTACAGTTTTGGTCTGATTTAAGTATAACTGGCACAAAAGTAGACTACACTAAGATACATAAATCTGTGTATCTGTTTTTGATTTCGATGAATGTTGTTGCCGTGGTTACTAAAAGTAGAAATATCTGTAAAATTGTTTCAAAATGCTACTCCTTCTACAGTTTTGGTCTGATTTCAATATAACTTGGCGCACAAGTAGACTACACTAAGATACATAATTCTGTTTATCGAATTTTAATTTTGATGAATGGTGTTGCCGTGGTTACTAAAAATAGAAATATCTGTAAAATTGTTTCAAAATGCTACTCCTCCTACAGTTTTGGTCTGATTTCAAAATAATTTGGCACACAAGTAGACTACACTAAGAACATAAAGAGACTTTATCAATGATCATTATTCAATTTATTGCTGTTGTAAAGTTTCAAATCCCAGCTGCTTAAGTACTTTTCTCTTTCTTTGCTATAAGTTCAAACCAGTAGAGCTTCAGTCTCGACAGAGACTTCAGGTTTATAGGAAGATTTTTCTGGGTTTTTTTTTTCAGATAATGGCTTCAAATGGGTATGTACCATAGTAATTTTTTACTAAAATGATTTTGGAGCTGATTCCAATGAATATTTAAATGAAATTCCCATAAGACTAGAATAAATGATGAAACTAAAGATTTTTAAGTTTGTAAGCTTTTAAATTTCATTCCTTAAAGAACAACTGTATTTCAAAATCTTTCAAGTTATTTAAAGTTTCCTTTTAGGAATTTCAATTATTTAAAATGCTCTTTTTTCTAACATGAGCATATAGTCTGAATTAGACATTCAAGTTTCGCACTAACTTAATGAATTATATATTGATCCAGGAAAATGAAGTTTGTACTTTCACTTTCACTTTAATTTTAAGGTGACCTTTGTATGAAAAATAATATAATATACTTAAGGCCAGGTAAAATTAATCTTTAGATTCTCATCCTAATTTGCAAAAAAATTGGGGCGGGTGGGCGGATTTTATTTTTTATTTTTATAATTGTTAATTTATATGTAGACCTAAGTATCAACAAAACAATGGACGCCCCGTACACATTTTTTTCATTACTTTAATGCAAATATGAATAGATTTAATTCTTTTCATATTCTTTTAAATATTTAAAGAAATTTTTGTCTTTAAAAGTTAAATATTTATTGTTAATTAACAAATTATCAAGTGCACATTATATGGCAACAAAATGAGGTGGGGATACCAATAAATTGTGTATGCGTGACTTCTTATTTTGCAAAATCTATATAAATGTTCTAATAATTATTCTACTGAAAAATCTAGGCCTTCTCTTAAGTCTGTCTACGATTTTGTAGATTTTTTTTTATTTCAAAGGTAAGTCACACAGCTAGAGATCGTTATATATAACTTGACTTTCCTCGTCTATTTTTACTTGGTTACAATCTCTCTACATACTTGCTCCTGCCAGTGATGGTATCTATATGTGTTAAATGCCATTTTTTCTTCTCTGCCTTCTCTATACTGACAAATTATCTTTTCCTTACACATTTAAACTGCTTTTATTGTTTATTACCGATTTTTCTCCATTCTTCACATGGCGTTTTTGCTATTAATAGCGACACGCGACTTTTAGTACAGACGGGAGATAACTCTTAAACTTTGACCCAAATTCTTACTGAATAAAAATACATGAAAATACCCAAAAATCAAAATAAAAAACATCGGGGCGGGACATTTTGAGAGGGGCGGGCGGGGATGAGAATCTAAAGATTAATTTTATATGGCCTAAGTTAATTCAGCAGATATAAAACAATTTAAACGTAAGCTTACTGCGTTTTCTATTTTAACAATGTACAAGAAGTGAATTCAGTTTAGAACTTCTTTATTTATCTGTTCTGGAAATGAATTTGACAAAAATTTACAAACTTAAATTGGAGGTAACTTCTTGTGCCAATATTAGGTAAAAAGATTTAGATAACAGTAATAATGTCATGGTTTATCATTGATGTATTGCTGTACATGTGATAAACGTTACAGAGATTTAGATAGCTGGAACCCTATGAAGGATGACCATCTAGATGAAGAATTTAACAAGTATGACAGAGGACACGGTAAAAACATGCCAAAGAGGGGCCCAGACCGCTATGGGTTAGTAGAAAAAAATCAAAGGCCTGACGGCCTGAGAGGCGCATCGCATTGAAGGTATAAAACTTTTTTTTCTTAGAGAAATTCAACATCAATGTTAAGGGAATGAAAGAATCCAGGAATAAGGATTTAAAAAATAACTAACGTTTCTTTGAGGTTAAAAAAAATTGAGCCATGGCTCTGAGTTTTAGCCAATCGATCATGTGCAGGAGAGGAAAACTTTTTTTTTTTAAAGATAGTCTGATATATTGATATTTTAATTAAATCATAACTGATTTTAATGTATTTTAATTCTTTTTTTTTTTATTTTTATTCTTTTACTATTAGGAAGATGAAATAATGAATGTCAATATAGAAATTACTAGTAATGATTATTGAAAAAATTGATATAATTTCATATCTGAATTATTTCAGTTTCTTTCATTATGTGCACTTTTATAAATATCAGTACTTTGTTTTTAACTTTTTCCCAATATAAATGGCACAATATAACAAATGTTATATACATGAAATCTTCATGTAAATTATACGGGACTAAAATAAACAATCGGGCGTGGTATACGGTTTATTATGAACCCGATACAAAACCGAGTAATTTATCGTACGAGCTGTTGTTATGCAAATAGATTTTACTCCGCGTAGGGCACGTTTGTTGTTGTTATCTCTCTTTGTTTTAATTGTTTATTTTCTCATTTTTTGTAACCTCTGTTGATTCAAAGTAAAAACATGTATGTGTGAGATTTTATGTTATTAGCTGTTTAAAATTAACAATGGATATCGCCAACTTGTCAATGTACATTAGCACTATTTTTAATAACGTGTTAAGAATCAATATTGTTGAGTCCTTTGCCGCCGCAGTTTAGATAAGAAAGAATTGCCAGGTGATCGCAATGAGACTGCATCGAAAACGATGCGCCTCAAAAAGGAATATATTTGTACAGTTAAATTGGAGTACAGTGGAGCCTCATTTATCCAGACGCTTTGGTTCCCAGTCAATTTGTCCCTATATGTGAAGCGTCCGGATACCTGCATCACCAATTAAACAAGACATAATAACATTTTGAAATTCTGTTCCGATGAAAAAGCGTCCGGATACTGAAGCATCCGGATATCTGACGTCCGGATATCTGAAGGTCCACTGTATCTGGATTTTAGAATGTCAAATAAATAAATATTGGTGACATGTCAAAGTTAGATGGAACTTGTCTGTCACTTTATTTCATTTTATTCTTGACGACTTGACCTACCAAATATCTTGGAAGTTTTCTTGGTTTATTTGAGCCTGAGATTTCAAGAAGTCAGTGTACAGTAGAATAACATTAAATGAAGCTGAAATTTTCTTGATGATATCATAGTTTGAAGGGGGGGGGGCGCAGGGGGAGACTTGGTTTGAATTAATATGTGTATCTTGTTACTTTAGTGGTGTGTCCTTGTATGTCACCGGAATTCCAGATGAAATGACAGAAGTAAGTACAAGACATTCAAGTAATTAAATGTATAAATGCCCGACCAAGTGTGTTTCAGAATTAGTAATGTTCATGCTGAAAGAAGTGATAATTTATTATTGTACAATGCCGTTCTTAGTTTTGCGAATGGTGTAAAGTAGGAGTGGCACTGCCAGAAGAAATAAATCTGTATACAATTTCATTAGAATTAATTACCTGAAAATTAAATGACTGATGGGAAAAAAAATAAAGTTTGATTTTAACTTGCAGGAAGGATTGGTGAATTTATTTAGTAAGGCTGGCACTTGTGTGGAAGCAAAGAAAATGAAGTCCAAAATGGAAGGGACTGGGAATACGTATGGGTGAGTTGTATAGTAGTGAGATCAGATCTTGATGTTCTATTCGATATTAATTTTCCCTCTAAATAAAATTAACTGAGGTCCATTATGAATATGAACGAAAGTAAAGAGTGAAAGTAAAGAGAAAGTTAACAAGAGAAAAAAAAAGTTTGAACACTGAAGCTTGACGATTTCCGAGAAGCTGTGTTTTAGATGGAGTATCTTTGTTTGGTTATGTTGATTTGGTTTCAGATTTGTCAAGATGGCGACAGTCAATGAGTGTGAGAAAGCCATTCGTAAATATCACGAATTTCCCATCGGAGACAACAAATTGAGAGTAAAGTTCTCTAAAACATACGAAGATAGAAGTCGACAACAGAAGCAGAAACAGGTAAAAACTTCACCAAAAATTATTTGGACAGTGCTAATTGTTTACTTCATTGCTTAAGCTTTGAGGTTGAAAAAGTTGGTTTAAAACTAGAGTGTACAAAAATTTTTAACATGGCACCATAAGGCCAAAAATAAAAATAGTCTTGTTTCCTGCTACCCGACCTACCCTATTTTTTTGCACCCGACCCTAAAGTTTTTATTTAGTTTTTGAGGGAAAATCGAAAATTTCATGATCCAAAAGTGAAAAAAATATACATTCAAGTGGTATTTCACGAAATATATATGTTTTAAATATGGACTTGCATGAAACACTACTTATTTTAAATAATAATATTGACCAATGATATGTTTAATTTGGTTTTGTAATAGTGCATATCCAACAAATACCATTGGAAAAAAAAAAAATAGAATTAAAAAAATAAAATAATTTTCCGACCTACATACCCTATTTTTTTCAGGCTGGTAGCAGGAAACCGGACTATTATTTTTTTTGGCCTAAGTTCTCAATTTATTATATAAATGGATATCACTTTTATAAAGAGAATATTTGCTAAAACATCTTTGTTTTCTGAATGTCTAAATATAAATAACTTTATCACTAGGAGGAAGAGGAGTTTCTGAATTCGTTGAGCAGTAACAGGAAGTCACAGCCCCGCAGTAAAGCCAGCTCAGGCTCCGAGTCAGACGGCAGCGCTCACTTCATGAGCAGGGTGAGTTAATCAATCTGTATTTTCTATTGGTATCTCTATTAGGGCTGACATTAATGTACCCCCCTTTAATTACTGTTTTACTTATTTAAGTAGGCTTTGTATTTCAATGGCTCCAGAATGAACAATGATGCACTAATTCATGAATAATGCTAAGAATTCAAGAATAAATACAGTGGAGGCAAAAAAGCTAATTCATGATTGTGCAAACAACTCCACTTTGTGTCAAACAGTAAAGTGAATGAAGGCTAGGAAGATATGAAGCAGCTTTGCTTTCATTCCTGTGTTATGACACAGAGTATAACTGTAAAACTTTATTATACATGTATTTACAATGTTGAATCCTAAAAATAATCATTGGATAAAAAATTATTGGAAATGATGAGATTCTGATGTATATGAGATAAGCTATGATGAATTTTATTTATTTACTTATTTTTTTTAGCTCTACTGGTCAGAGACCAGAAGAGCTTATGCAATAGTAATGCGTCCGTCATCCGTCCGTCTGTCTGTCTGTCTGTAAACAATTTTTCAAAATGCTACTCCTCCTACAGTTTTGGTCTGATTTCAATATAACTTGGCACACAAGTAGACTACACTAAGATACATTATTAGTTATCCAGGTTCAATCAAGGGTGTACGGGGATTTACCCCGGGTTTTATTCCATACACCCTGAGGCCGTAGGCCTCAGGGTGTATGGAATAAAACCCGGGGTAAATCCCCGTACACCCTTGATTGAACCTGGATAACGAATTTATTTCCTTTGTACCCATAAAAATGCTCTGTGAACATCAAAGTGTGTCTCAATCTATGGATTAGATAACTACTGTATGCATTGTGACGTCACGTTTTATTTACACCCGGCTCAAGTCGGGTGCACGGATATTTACACCCGACTTTGTAACCAATCAAAGCTCGTGTTACAAGCTAGATAGGAAATAAAATTTTGTGCATCGGTTTTTGATTTCGATGAACGGTGTTGCCGTGGTTACTAAAAATAGAAATTTCTGTGAAATTCTTTCAAAATGCTACTCCTCCTACAGTTTTGGTCCAATTTCAATATTACTTGGCACACAAGTAGACTACACTAAAATACATAATTCTATGCATCGGTTTTTGATTTCGATGAACGGTGTTGCCATGGTTACTAAAAATAGAAATTTCTTTGAAATTCTTTCAAAATGCTACTCCTCCTACAGATTTGGTCCGATTTCAGTATAACTTGGCACACAAGTAGATTACACTAAGATACATAATTCTGTGCATCGGTTTTTGATTTCGATAAACGGTGTTGCCGTGGTTACTAAAAATAGAAATTTCTGTGAAATTCTTTCAAAATGCTACTCCTCCTACAGTTTTGGTCTGATTTTGATATAACTTGGCATACAAGTAGACTACACTAAGATACATAATTCTGTGCATCGGTTTTTGATTTCAATGAACAATGTTGCCGTGGTTACTAAAAATAGAAATTTCTGTGAAATTCTTTCAAAATGCTACTCCTCCTGCAGTTTTGGTCTGATTTCAGTATAACTTGGCACACAAGTAGACTATACTAAGATACATAATTCTGTGCATTGGTTTTTATTTTGATGAGTGGCAAGGATCATTTTTCTATTTATTGCTGATTTAAAGTCTCAAGTCCCAGCTGCTACTTTTCTCTTCCTTTGTTTTAAGTATAAACCAGTAGAGCTACAGTCTCGACAGAGACTTCTGGTTATAGTAGGGGTAACTTTATTAAAAGAAGATAAATATTTCGTGACAAGCCCCTGTGGGAGCGATAACTGTAATCTCGATCAATTCGATTCATCTCCACCCCATTCTCTCTCTCTCTCTCTCTCTGAGGGTGTGTGAGTGTGTCTGTATATTATGCAATGATTATCTTTCTTTTATGTAGAAGACGTAGTAAGGTGTGACATTTGCTCGGACCCTTGCCGGGAAAAGTTCCCAGCGGAAGTGCATTGTAACACGTGTCACACAAACTTGTGCAGTCCTTGTGTCGCCACACATATGACATCCGACAAATCCAAGAAACATGATATTGTTCTTTTTCACTCTGTGGACAAGGAAATCATCTTGCCAACTTGTTCCGTCCACTCCAATCACAAGTGCGACTTGATCTGTTTGGAATGCCACGGTCCCATTTGTCTAAAATGCCTTTCCACCGACCACAACAGCCATAAAGTGCAAGAAATGACCGAGTTGTGCAGATCTCTTTGCAAAGAAATTGAGACGGAAACGGAGGAACTGGAATCACACATCATTCCCGAATTTGAAGATATTGTAAAAGATGAGGAAGACAAATTGAAGAAACTGCTGCAAGACTACGTCAAGCTGGAGACTTCCATGGAGGAGCACGGAGAGCAGGTTCACAAGGCAGTAGACGCTGTAATCAAAAAGTACAAAGCCAGAGTCCAACAGATGAAGCAAGATGATGCTAAAGCCATTGGTCAACAGAAAGACGATATCAATGATTTGCTGTCTCTGGCAAAACAGACTGCGAAAAGAAACAAACTGATAGCGAGGTCAAAGAATTCCACAAATATAATGAATTACAAATCTGAAAATGCAAAACTACGACAAATCCCTGCTTTGAAGAATATAATCCCCTCAACCTTTGAAGCAAAGGATATCTCTTACGATCTGTTAGAGAAGTTCTTCGGAACAATTCCAAAATCTCGGTTTTTGTACAAGCCGGGATACACCCTCAAAAGCAATGATGGTCAAACCTCTGCTGTCAGTGCATCGGATTCTACAGACAAGGTGACACATTCTTTCGCCCTACCATATAAACTACTCTATAGGGTTGCATGCTCATCAAGGACAAAGAAATTATGGACCTGTGGCAATGAGAACACGGTGAAATGTGTGGACATGCGTGACGGTTCAATATTAGAGACCTTGGTGTTTAGCCTTAATGCAGTTTCTTTCTGTTTGACTGAAATGGATATTTTATTTGTTTGTGATGGGGTTAGCATTTTGAGAAGAGAAGGAACTAGTGACACACGGACGTATTTTAGCGTTCCAGCAGGTTGGATCGCAGAGGCAATTACAAGCACAACTTGTCCCGTCTCTGGTCTCCTCGCGGTTCTGAGGAGCGAGGACAGCAGACAGTCCAAAACTGTCCGAATTATTGATGCCCAAATCCGGGATGAATTTCAGTATGATGACAAGGAGAAACCACTTTATCACTCAGGCTGCTATGATTACTTTCTCGCAGAAAACAGAAATGGCGATGTTTGTGTTTCAGATACAACAGCACTTGTTGTGACAGATAAAATGGGCAGGTTCCGCTTCAAATATCATGGAAATGTGTTTGCAACGTTTGGTAAACCTTTCAAACCAAGAGGAGTTGCAACTGACAAAGATGGTAACATTTTACTGTCAGACCTAGACAATAGCTGCATTCATCTAGTCGAAGAAAATGGTAAATTTATCCGATACATCACTTGTGGGAGATCTTTGGACAAGGTTTGCGATTTGTGCATTGATGGCAGCGGCTGTATCTGGATTGCAGAGAGAAATTCTGCAAGAGTAAAGTGTATCCGATACCATTAATTAAATAATAAAAAGTTTTGTAACCCTTTATTCACCCCTGCAAGAAAAACTTTGAGTTCTGGTCCAAACTGTAAAACAAGTGATTCTAACCATGTGACAAAATTAAATGTCGTGCCATGCCGCCCCAAACGACGCTCACGTCGCTCTATGGTTCCAAAGATGGCCAGGAGGAAAAAGCGCCCAGGCCCTTCGTTCGCTAAAAATACTCGAGTTTTGGGGTTCAGATCTTTTCTGTTGTCTTGTGTAATTCCAAGTAAATGTTCATCACTCACCTAATTTCGATCAGAAACTCTTTCATCCAAATTTGGAAATAATAAATCAGGAAATAATAATATTGTTGTCGCGAATGCTGGTTGCCAGTGGAATAAAGTGATCCTCCCAGATAATAAGAATAAGACTGCTGTCGGATTTTCTACCCAGATAGACAACTGCGTATTGATACCCTCACCGTGTGACAATAAGGCGTCTGCTGGATTTTCTACCATAATGACGGCAGATAGACATCTGCACATATATATATATATATATTAGTACTGTCCTTCCTGTTGTACTTTATTTATCAAATAAAAATATACATTACTAAAAACCATGTTTATAAGAGTACTGGTTTTCTATTAGAAAATCAAAACTATAGAACTTTTGCATATTCCATGGCTTGGGTATTGGGATTCCATCATTAAGAGCCACTTTGTATTCACCCAGAAAACAAGTTCTCTAATAATACTGTACACAAATCCACCAAGATAAGCTTATCTTGGTGTGTATAGTAATATCTAATTCCATTTGAACGTGTATTCTACACTTGTTAACACGTTTTCACTCAGAAAGACCGTAACAAGCCTATTGCAGATATAAAATCTTTCAAGAAAAGGCATGCAAAACGGGCAGACATAGTGATGTTGGGAAGTGATCCATAAATTTTGCACTGCTCTAACTAAAAAAGTTCGAACTTCCTTCTTGGTTGCTTTCAGTTGAAAAACTTAAGAAAAAGAAACATTTTTGATATGTTTTATTTGTCCATCTTAAGAAATATCCACGAAACACTGCATGAGAAAATGTAAAACGGAAATGTCAAACTCCACATTCAGTGCCTTTTGCAGAAGGGAGGCGCAGCGTTTGTTTGCAGATAAAATTTGCCGTGAACATTCTTATCGACATTGAAACCCATTCTGTTGCAGCCATTTGCACACGACAAACAACTTCCTCGGTAGAAGTTCAAATATGATGTGCAAGGGAACGCCTTATATTCACAAGAGGAATTGATGGACTCGATGAAGTAGTATATCGCCCTCATGTGGCTGCATGTAAGGCTTTTAGAAATCCCTATAAAAACAAAAATATTAGTGACCCTGAGAGCTTATAATCTTTGATATATGTACTGTATACAGGTTAATTTCGCCCCGTGTTATTTTTGCCTTATCGCACTAGCAAATATTTTTGCCCCGTTTTAAATCCACCCAGTCATAATTCTGTTTAAGAAATTATATTGTATTCTTTGAATTCGCTCCGTTGTAAATTCGCCCAAATGCGGGTAGGGCGAAAGGAACAAAAGTAAGGTGGGGGCGAAAATTTCCCTGTATACTGCGAGATTAGCACAAGACAACTGGATACATTTTTGTATGCATGCGATATGTTGAACGTGAAGTCATTGAAGGAAAGAAAGGTGTTATCAATTCATGTATACAATTAAAACATCCTTACAACGTAAGGGGTACTGAGACAACACAATGGGCTGTCTGCATTAACTTTTGTGGAAATTGCAAATCTTGATTGTTTCTTCTTATCTCTCGACCAATCACATTAAACTTCTCGGGACAATCGACTGTAACACACACAATGAAGTTTAAATCAACTTCTGAAAGCTCCAATCTGATTGGTGCTTCTCACTGAGAAGCAAGCCAAGGGGTCCAACTATCGAGTTGTCTCAGTATCCTTGACGTTGTAAGGATGCACAAAACATACTTAATTACTTATAGCATAATACGTAGGACAAAAGAATTTTGATTCGCTATTAACCAGATTCCTATCCGTTACATTCATAATGCGTTTCAAAACCATAGGGAATGAAAGTCGAATTCACTGTAGGCATAAATTCATTATAATTGTGTTAAATATAGCCATGTTTTAAGGTTCTAAGTAAAAATGATTGTTCTATGGTATAAACATGCAGTAGCAAATTTCACAGAAATACCCACATCCAAACTTTCCTTTGAAGAAGTTAAAGATGTTGGTCCACAGATTACGTTTACATCCGGGTTGTCTTGTACCCCCATTTGGATAGAAGTCAACGTGTCCGTTTGGTGTCCTGATTCCAAAAGCTATGAGACAAAAAGTAAGACATTAGCCAACAATCTTAGATGCTTTCTTCATGAATTTCTTCAGATTTGTTACTAACCCAATTCCAGCAGAGAGGCTCCATCCGTATGAATGACATCAACAAAATTCGCGTCGGAAGGATCCAATTTAACTTTGGTGTCAAATTTTTCAAAATACAAGCCAGCTGGGTCTAGTCCTAAAATTTAGACCAGAATCATTTTATCCGTATCACTGGTTCTAAAACACTTTAAAACATCTTCATTGCAATACATGTACGTGTATAAAGTGTGGAAGATAGAGCATGTACATACTATTATAACTACACAAAAATGTTACTTACCCGTGATTCTGCCAATTCCTTGTACCCAGTCCCCGGCGTACCCCATGATTTGAGCACCGAGACTGTGTCCGATAAGATGGACCTGACCTAGAGGTAAGCTGAAGCTGTCTCGTAGAACCTTGATCATGTTCCCAATGGTGGCGCCCACCACACGGGTATTGGCAGCGGATTGACGGTAAATTCTTCCCTTGGTGCCCTTTGACCAGTCAACGGCTATCACGTTCATGTCTCCCTGAAAGAGAATAAATATTTCATTTTTAAATCTGCATGCAAAATCTAATTAACATATGTAGTGCTCAGTTGGTAGAGCACTGGACTGGCAAGCCACAGGCCACGGGTTCAATCCCCAGGAGAGGCACAAAATTGTCTGTTACATTTGGTGCCCACACTGGGACCCGTGTGTTCCCCGTTGATGAGAGTGATTGCCCTTAGAACTTCGCCCCATTGGTGTCGGCACTCCAAAGAGGACATCTTATTCTCTGGAGGGGGGCAATGAAGAAGTGTAAGATACACGGCATCCTACTAGCTCGGGCTAGTGGGTTAACCCTTTAGCTCAATTGGTAGAGCACTGGGCTGACATGCCAGAGGCCCCTAGTTCAATCTCCAAGCAGAGCTAGGCACAAAATTGTCTCTGTTACACATTGATAAAAGATTCTTTTGAGAATTTTACCAACCTTTTCTAGAAAAGCGTCTTTCATTTGCAATGGCCACCCGGACTTGGCCGTGTCTTTATATCCATGGGTGATAAAAACAGTCGGTAGACTGGAATCAAAGTGTGAACTGGAGATTTTGTTTGTATCATAAGGATCCAGGATCTGGGCGGTATCCCTGTTTTGTCTGGTGTACAGACTGAAGGTGGTATCAATAGTACTCGGAGACTGAGGCAAGGTTCTGTGTGCATTGTTAAAAGGCTTTGCGTTGCTGAAACATCCTATGTGGGTGTAGCAAACTTTCTTCGGTTTTATTGACCACCATCCTAAATTTATATTAAGAATAAATTGTAGAAGAAGATTGTGAAATTGCAGTTATTTATTCTGAATCAGTCTGCTTTATTACTAGTATTTTACGTTGTAAGCTATATACATATAATAATGCCTTTGGTGGATGAAAGCAGGAGCAGTAGTGTTAAGCTTCTCAACATCATGGACGAGTAGCGAACAAACTGATCAATGAGCAGCTGAAAAAGAAAACAAAATTAAGATACCGGTAGTAGTTCGATCCCAATGTTCTTAAAATCAGGCTTTGTTGAATATTGAAAATACTCACACAAATTCTCTAAGTAATGTGTATTTACTAAATTACTATCGGAAATTCTTCACATTTCATTAATGTTAATTATTCAGGGAATTTTTTTAAAAGAGTTCTTTTTTAAAAGAATTTCAAAGATATTTTCACGAAATGAGAATAAAAACACCAGTAATGAATTTATTTTTCGTTTGGATGGGAAGTTTGGGCGTTTCTTATGGGACGTCAATTGTTACTTAATGATACGTCCATTTCTTGTGAAACTTGAAATATTCGTCGTAATGCTTTAAGACACCCCTGTCTTTGTGACTAGCAACATGACATGCACTAAAATGGAGCTTTGAAAAAAATTGTAGTTAGAGACTAAAGACTCCCCGCTTCTGTAAAACACGTACTGGAATAAATAACTAGAGCAAAGCTCGTTGCAAAGCAACGAGTAGGTCTTCCGTCCTGTTTTGACAGGAAGTGACGTCAACGAAAGAAAACAATGAGCTAAGTCGTCTCCAGTCACTTTATAATTTCAATTTTGCATCAAAACCTTAAAAAATAAGCTATTTTTGGCTATTTCCGGTTTGACTGGAGGTGATGTCGACAGACGGAAAATTAAGTTTTATGCTTCCAGTGACATATGTTACCCCAAAACTTGTCAAGAACGGCAAAAATATGCATTTTCTGACGACTTTCGATTTGACCGGAAGTGACGTCGCCGGACGCATTTTGATGACTTCAATAGATTAAGCTTGACATTTTAAACAACTTTTCTTCTTGGAGGTATTACAAATTCTCAATACTTTTTGAGATATCTGGAAAAAACTTTTGGCCCCTCTAGATCCCTTAATTTAGGGGTCAGCCCTTTTTTCGAGATATCATTTGAAAGATCTTGTAATTCTGTGCAAATTTTGTTCTATATCTTTTAACAAAATATTTTTAGCTTAGAAGATAAAAAGCAAAATATGTGTAAATTTTCACTCTTTTAGGTGTTCTAATTTTTTACCCCTACATAGCACCATTTTGAATAGAGAAATCGAAAAACAAAAACCGCTATGCACAACTTCAATCCTTCTATTGTGTAAAATCAGTAAAATTTCTTGTCCAGCTTTTGCCATCTCCAAGCCTTTGTCTGGAAATGAAAGCCTATAAATTTTCGTTTAAAGGGAAATAACTCAATACCGGAAGTGAATTTTTGGAATGCTAGACAAAATTCTGATAGAGTTTAGTAACGTCTATAAACTCTGAAAATTTGAGCAAAATCCATTGAGAAATGAGTGAAATATGAGGCCTCAAAGTTGGCGTCTAGGAAAAGGAAAAAAAAAAAAAGAATAATAAGAATAATCTTAATCATCAGAATCAGGAGAAGGTCTTCCGTAGGAAACGGAAGACCTTAATTATGAATTTATCATATATCTGTTGGAGTTACAACAAAACATGTTTCGGTCGAACACGTGTTTACTGGTGTTTATGTAGACCTTCAATTTGATTGGTTATTATATTTATGGAAAATCTGTTCTACGGGTATTCGAATAATCAATTTGACAGTGTCATACCTTTCTAAAGAAATGGGCGTGTCATCGTATGACAATGAACTTTGCTCGAAAGGTTCCACTTGGACGGAAAATTTTACCACTTCATTGCGCTAGCTTCATTGTACAGAATGTACTTTACAGGTACAACTAAGTACCTGTACAACAAGGTACAACTAATTATCTTTTTTTAATTGACCTTGAGATAAAAGAGAGCTGAAACTTATGTGGAAGCATCCTGGGGGAATGTAGATCTAAATTCTGGGGTAGTGTAAAGATTAAATTGTTTAAATCATGACCCCTGGGGTAGGGCGGGACCACAAAAGGGAATCCAAGATTAACAGTGAAAATCTTCTTCCCAAGGACCATTGAGACAGAAAAGCTTAAGCTTATGTGAAAGCATCTTGGGGTAGTAAAGATTCTAGATTGTTCAAATCATGACCTCCGGGGGTAGGGCGGTGTCACAATAGGGAAAAATCTTAAACACTGTTAAAGAACCACTGGGTAAGAAAAGATGACATTTTTTGTAGAAGTATCCTTGGTCAGTGTAGAGTTTAAATTGTTCAAATCACGATCCCTGGGTAGGGCGGGCCACAATAGAAAATCCAAGTTTTACATTGAAAATATAAGAAAATCTTTGAAAATCTTCTTCTCAACCGACTCAAGAACGATTGGGCCAGAAAGCTTAAATTTATGTGAAAGCATATTGGTGTAGTATAGATTCTAATTTGTCCAAATCATGGCCCCCGTGGGTAGGGTGGGGTCACAATCGGTATTACAAGGGGATTAATTGATTGATTGTATATTGTTTAACGTCCCTCTCGAGAATTTTTCACTCATATGGAGACGCCACCACTTGCCGGTGGAAAGATGCAAATTTTGTCCTATACTCGGCACTCGGGGCCATTGAGCAAGGAGGGGTGTTTTTCGTGCCAGCGCCTACTGCGACACGGGACTTGGGTTTATATCTGTATACGGTCTCATCCGAGGGAGCGGTCTCTACGTCCCACAACGATATGCGAACTCGCGACGTAAGGATTTACTCCTTACTTCGCGACTCGACAGCAGACGCTCTAACAACGGGGGTGGGGGGTGTCGGGGGGTCTGTCAATGGACAGCATGGTCCAAACTACTCAGGTGAGCAAATTCGCCCAAGGGCATCTTGTTTACCATATTCTAAGAATTTTAAAAGTCTGATGCATGTCGACGACTATCTAAAATGTTTTTTGTTTCAATTTCAACACACATTTTACACAGATCACGTTTCTTTTAAACTTGAAAAGAACGATAATCATTTCTTAGTCGTTTATTCTAAGTGCTGACTTATCTTGTTAAAGATCGAACAAGCTCTGGAAATCAATTTTTTTAAGAACAAAGATAGGAAAAAATCAACATTATAAACTTCTTAGATTTACCTTTTTCTCCTGTCTATGTCACCCGTCAACCCAAAGTGAGCGAGTTTCACGATTTTTTTTGGTCTTTATAGGCCACTATGACGTCACATGATCCTTATTAATTCCCTTCAGACTACTGTTCGATGTGTTTTCGCTGACAATTATAACTGGAACATGCGCAGATCTAGAGGGGGTCGGGGTCCCTTGGAATTTGCAGAGTTATTAAGGGGGGACCTATGTCCGAAAAGTCTTTGTGTGAAATTTTCAAAACTTTAACATTTCTTTCATGGCCACTTGCTCTTAATTTTTAGGTATTAAAAACAATACCTTTATGTGCTTATTTTCGAACAGGAGCACGTGCAAAAACAGTGTGAAATGCTAAAAATAGATAATTTTGAGACATTACTGACTTCTACCCCAAATATGCGCTAAAAAGAACCAAAAATGTCAAATCACATTTAAAATCAACAGGTATATAAATCATTTGACTTGTATCTTTAAAATAAAGGCAAATTCATTATATTTCATCTCGCATGAAAAATTATAATGGAGCACAATATAAGTATTACCCCATTTTTCTTGTCATATTTTTTACAATTCCGACATCCATAATAGGTAATATCTTAAAAAGTCTTTGTGTGAAAATGTTGTAATTCATATTTTTTGAAAGAAATGAATTATCTCTTTACTAGTATTTCAACAAAGAAAAAAGTATACCTTTATGATAAAATAAACGAGAAATATGAAGTTTTCTTTTATTTTCGTACTCTTGTGTCATAAATATTGACCTTAGTGCACTAAGACAAAGGTAAGGAAGCACTGACAAACATCTGAATATAAAACTATTTTGCGGAAAACAAGTATTTTGTTTTGATTAGTAACAATTTACACTGATTTAATCTTTTCTTTTTCATTCCAATCATTCTGCCCCCCCCCCCCCACCCCCACCACCACCCTACCCCCTCTTCCCCGTCAACAACAAACACCAGAACTAGGAATGACTTTACGCAATTAAATCTAAATGTACTAATCAATTACCAAATATAGGTACAGGTACATTTCTTAATTTTTTTTCTTAGTTTTATCGAGAAAATACAATTAATGGTAAACATATAATTATAAACATATTTCCCTGATTTAAGCCGCTTTCTTTGCTGCATTTTATTTATCTTAGTGCACTTCTATCAGCATATTATCGAGGTATCTTTTCACAACTGAAATTGCTATAAACTAGAGCCGAGCTCGTTGCAAAGCAACGAATAGGTCTTCCGTTGGAGCTACGGATAGGAAGACGTAACCTTGAGTCTAGGTCAAGCCACATTATAAAGTTATACAAGTAAGCAACCTAAAGGCTTGTAAAGGAAGAAACTTACAATGTTTCACCATGAAAAACACTGTAAAGGAATGTATGTGACCTTGAACTTTCTAAATGACCTTGCGTCAAGCAATGTTTCGCCATGAAAAATGCTGTAAAGGAATGTATGTGAACTTGAACTTTCTAAATGACCTTGCGTCATGCAATGACAAACTCTGTTATAAAAATCTAATACCGTATAATCCCTATTAACCGCGCCGGGCGCTTAGAAAATTTCGAAAAGGAGGCGATTATTTTGGTATTCTCTTCATATTAATATTTAATGTCATTCTTATACTTCAAAAATTTTAAAGAACAGCTAAAATAATGTCGAACTTTACTTTAAGTGAGGATAATCCACCCAATTTATGCGATATGATTCATTTTCCACTGAGAAATTGGATAATAGACAAGTTACATTTTCACTTTGTTCAAATTTTGGCAGACTTTTGATACGATTCTAGATGATTTTAATCATTGTAGAGGGGGCCCTTGTTTTCTAATAATTGAAAAAAGACCTATGGGGCGCTTATGGGGGCAGGGGTGGTTAATAGGGATCATACGGTATGTGTATTACCAACTGGAAAAGTACACATATGTTTTTTATATATTCTTTTAGTCCATGAATCCAGCCAAAACATCTTATCTTTAGTGACCTTGAACTTGAGTCAAGATCATGTCCCACCCTGCATTATACATGTATCAACAATGTTTCACAGGTACAAATACTGTAGCGAATTTACAGTTTCTCTGTCAGTAACCTTGACTTGTCTGAATGAATGGATATGTTCAGCCTTATTTTTTCTGAGCATATACAGTATCAAATCGGAAGAATTTATTAGGTTCAACACTATGATTTAGCTAAGGATTTAACTAGAAATATGTCTATAAGACATGAATGCATCGCCAAGTGTATATTAGTACATAATGCAACATTAAAATCTGTATTAATGTATGACGTTTGCTGAGAATATCTTGAATAGTTTCTTAAAAATTGAAATCTTAAAAAATGGATATAGATTATAAAATCCCCTTCAAATAATGCATAAGCTTACATAAAAATATCTCAAATGGTTTCTTTAATACTAAGAAAAATGCAAATTAAAGACAAGTGAGGTAAAGGTCACAGGAAAGTGCAAGGTTAAAGTGTATCAGCATACTAAAGTTTGATAAAAATGTCTTGAATTAATTCTTCAAATCTGAGCACCGCCCGTGTGGCACAGGGGTTAGATCATCTGTTCTAGACTAAGGTTTGGATATATCTCTCAAAAGTGTGCATATATTTTGGCCACTTTTGTACATTTAAAAATGAATACATGTATATAATTAAACTTGCATGTACAAGCATATTCCCGTAAAATTCTGCAATTGAAATATTCTTTTCGGGTTTTTCCCTTGAGTTGGAAACGTCACTTACTGGTACACTTACAATTATTTCCATTTATAACTATCTGAGTACACGATGTATTTTTAACACCGACATGCCCGCGGCTCTCTGCGGCCACGCACGTGTGAACGAGGACTAGGGTGCAAAACGTTTTGAACTTTTGACACAAGGCAACAGAGGTGGATGTAAACTGTAATGACATAACTGAGGGCATTGTGGCATCGCACTTTGAAAAAAATGCATAAAACAAATTCTAGACTTGTAGATTTTAATAATTTAAATTGAAATAGGATACACCCCCAAGGTAAGCCCCAATTTTTAATGCCTATATAATGTATTTGCAAAACATTTGTGTGACACCCCCCCCCCCCCCCGTACATATGCTTATTCTTAACAAAAATATAACTTGTATTAAGTTAAAATTTTTCAATAAATTTTAGTTTACATAAAATGCATGAAAACTGTAAAAAAAAAAAAAATTAGTTCAGTAAAATAATTAAGGGCGAAAGAATTTTCAAAGTACATATATGGAAAAATCAAAATCGCTCACTTTCATATCGTAAAGTGACCATACCGAAGAGTTATCAAACAGGTTCAATTATTTCTATCATATCTAAGATTTGCAAGAATATTGACCAAGCCATACACATTTTTCAAAGTGCATTTATATAGTCGATATTAACGCACTTTGAAAAGAAATTTTATTTTTTTAAAGTGCGTTGATTTGGTCCCAAATTTAACGCACTTTGGAAATATTTTTCAAAGTGTGTAATTTTTCAAAGTGCGTCGTAACAGGGCATACATAATGAAATTCGATTCGTGGACGATACATCACTGTTTGCAATAGTGGACACTAATATTAATACTCCTACATGATCTCTTAATTACAACCGATCTTGATAAAATAAAGAAATGGTCACAAATCTGATTTTAGCTATAGGCGAATGTGTGTGGATATGTAGAAGGGATAGTGTAAATTAATTCATTCAAGATTTGCTAAATTGTTCGTTTGGGCGAAGGCTTAGAAAAAGTGACACACTGCGTGTACAGGTACACACCAGTAAATGTTATCATTAAAATAAAATTCGACAGACATTAATTTACTGGTACATGTATTTTAGTTATCTGAAGACAACGTAATCTTCAGAGAATGAGGCATTATATATATTTTCTGTTTTTCATACCCCAGATTTCCTTTCTTTTGATTTACCGTTTACACAGGCCTGTGTTTTAACAGCTGTTCATAAATACTGTCAATTAATATATGATAGGAGAAAATGATACATCTCTCGGTAATTTATTTTTTTAGGGGGAAAATATAGGTGAAAATATATAGATTGACACCTTAGTGTTTACCTGTGTAATTACGAGGTTACAAACCGTGACGATGACTGGACAGGATGGGCTACCCGTTATAAAATCAACTCATAATCAACTCTGCGGACCTATAATTAGTTCACTCTAATGTCTGTATTTCAAACGCAGATTAGGCTCTACATGCGTATATTTGGGCACTCTTGCATATGCATTATACTTTAATTATAAAACGTGCATGTTCTGTACTTGCATGCATGTACATTATATGTCTCCGTAAAACCTTAATGAAGCATTACGAGAGCTGATAAGAAAAAATAAACGGAAACCTGCTCGCAAAAAATTACAAGTTAAATAGAAAATAATTATTTGTTCAAGGTTAATTAGTTGTCCAATGGAATAAGTTACGCATGTGTGTCTCAATCTACATACTTTGGACGCGCGTGTGAATGTGGGATTTTGTATTGATGTATTCTGATAAAACGCTCGATATTTGTATATTTGGGACGTATACAGTTGTACATTTTAAGGACGCCGACAAAAGAACGTATATTGACTTACATACATGTACATTTAACTTAAGATACAAAAAATCTATCACTAGTAGAAATTAATCAAAGGAGCATATTTTCGATGGTATTTGAGGTGAGACAGATCATGACCTCGATGTCGAGAAAAACATTTGCTATAAAAAAAAATAATTATATGCAACTTTCATTTAATTCAGCAAATAAATTATTGAATGAAATGCACTAGCGACATAATCAGTCAAAGATACTATGAAATAATTTGAAAGATTCAACATATTAATTAAATTTATCCATTATGTGGTTTCTTTTGTGTATATGACTGGGGGTCGCTGGATAACACGCCGATTGATTCCCGGTGACCGACTTTGCCCCGCGTTATCGAGGGAGGCGCGTTATATAATCGTAAACAAACAAGGTGAATGTAAAAGGCTGTGAATAGTATATGCTTTACAGTTATGTTTTATTTTCTAACTATATTGTTTGTTTTTATATGATAAGAAGAAAAGATTATCTTTTCTTCCATTTTTAGTAGACTTGATTTATACGATTTAAAAAAAATGAAATAAAAGGGAAAATTGTCAGTGAATAATCATGATAATTTGGGGGAAAAACACAAAACACTTCAAGAACCTTATTCTAAGAAAATATGAGCATCCAATGTAGCCATGTTTATCATTTATAGTAAGTTTATTTTGGTTTACACGCTTGAGGAGCTCGCGTTTACGTGCTGAGTGAAAAGAATTACCTGTACATATATGGGTCATGTATCTAACTCATTTAAAACAAGACTCGAACAAAACAATTTCATGAGATAATAAGATGTTAAAGCAAACCTTCATAATCGACAGTCATTCCGAAATATTTACCTTTTTTGAGTTATAAAGCAAAAATTTTCAAGGGCCCTAGATCCCTAATTTTAGGGGCCAGCCCCTTTTAAATGATATTAAATGAAAGCTCGTGCAATTATGCACAACTTTTATTCTACATGTCTTAACAAAATATTTTTAGTTTTCAAGATAAAAAGGAAAATATGTGTTAATTTTCGCTCTTTTAGGCGTTCTAATTTTTGACCCCTGTATAGCGCCATTTTGAATACAGAAATCGAAAAACAAAAACCGATGTGCACAACTTCAATCCTTCTGTTATTTAAAAGCAGTAAAATTTCTGCTCCAGCTTTTGTGGTCTCTGAGCCTTTGTCTGGAAATGAAAGCCTATAAATTTTCGTTTAAAGGGAAATAACTCAAAACCGGAAGTGACTTTTTGAAATTTTAGACAGCATTCTGATAGAGTTTATTATCGTCTATAATGTCTGAAAATTTGAGCAAAATCCATTGAGAAATGAGTGAGATATGAGGCCTCAAAGTTGGCGTCTAGGAAGAAAAAAAAAAAGAATAATAAGAATAATCTTAATCATCAGAATCAGTAGAAGGTCTTCCGTTGGAAACGGAAGACCTTAATTATCAACCAAAGGAAGAGAATTCTAATTTTAAAACAAGCTTCATAATTCAAATAAAACTGCTATTAATGATGTTCTTGGACTTTCTAAAGAGTATGTATTCCATTGTAAAAAATTAATTAATCCCCCTTTTTTTGGCCCGTCATCTCCCCACAGCCATGATTTAAGTCCAGAATATATCAGATTTTATCTAGAGGCATCCATATTTTTGCCTCATCTCGTTGAATTCCACATTAAAGGTATCATGACCCTTAAAACTTAATGGTAGTTTACTATTCAGATATTAAGTTTTATCTAAAACCTGTTTCCTCAATCTGTAAGTTTTGCTTACTTTGTAGGTCACAGCAATGAGTCACAAAGTTAAGCAATATGTGAATGGTGTAAACAGCACACAATGTACAAAATTGTCATTTTAAAAATTTATTCTCATTTTGTAATCAAACAAATGTATACAAAACATATCACATAAAAAAAATTCATCCAATTTACATGATAACAGTGTTAAATATGTATTTTGTTTGTTTCAAGTGACATAAAAAGTCTATAAAAATTTTTAGGAAACATTTTTTTAAGGTAAATATTGTTAACAAGCATTCCCAATACTTCTTGGTTTGTCAATTTCAAGAAGACAAAAGAAATTCTATCTTTCAACATTTCATCATCTAGCTTAAGTATATTTAAGGAATGTGGTGTTTAGTACAAAATGTTAGCATAAAATTATCACATTTTTTTTCTGCACCAGAGATATGAACACCCTGTTGTAAATATTTACAATGATTATTGCACACAAATTATCTCTCTCTCTCATCTCTCTATATATATATTTATATACTAGTATATAAATTCTGGAACAACTTTGAATCCAAGCTTTAACTGTATATAATAGTCTACATATGATGCATTAAAATTTATTAAAAAAAAACAATTTTTTTCATGATAAAGGCACCTATGTCTTAATTCTGCATTCTCATATACAATTTTTATAATTTTGAGCTTATCAGAATATGAGGTATGTATGGCTCTAAAAATATGAATAATGTTAGTGTTTCTTGAAAAAAATGCTTGTTTGAAAAGTCCATCTTTATATCTCATGAAATTTTCATAAATATGTATTTACATTTCAATCAAATAATTGATTTATTTTATCAAGTATAAATTAACTAAAAAAATCAGCAAAAAATCATCTAAGTTTTCTTACCCTTTATCTGAGTTGGGTAATTGTCACAAACCATGGCAAAAATGTACCATCCTCTCCCATTCTTGTTATGGCTGAATGAAAAGAGAATTTTCCATACCTCATTAAAATTTTGGCCAATGTGAGTAAAGCAAAGTTGAAAAATGAACATTGATGTGACATTTCAATACCCAATTTTTTGTTTACTGATGATGTCAATTGCGATGGAAACAAATATTGTCATTGGCTGAACATGACATCACAGTAAAGAGGCTTAAACATCCAAGATTATGATAATTCCTGTGATTCAAGCAGCCACGGGTAGGAGAGAGCTATATGCTGACTCCAAACTGTGGCTTGAGACCATGGTGTTGGGTAGGATAAATAATTTTGAAAATCTCTTCTTCCTCATAGGTTGGAGTTCATGAGTGGATGAATTTTTGAATTACAAGAAACCTTAAAGAATAGTACTACTGCAAATCAAATTACTTTTTTTAAAAAGTGGATTTTTATCTAGTTGGATACACAGGTAATGAGGTATATATGTACAAGAACAATAACGAATCTGCCTATGGCAAATAATCATAAAAATGTTTAGAAAAAAAAACAATACTGGTGTAAAAATCTAAATTAACAAGTAAAAAAGCAAAGTATTTAATAATTACATGTATTCATTCATCAAATAATAATTCAATACACTCATGTTTTTCAGGTCAATTAGTAAATGAATTGGTTGACTTACATGTTTGAGATAAGATAGATTTAAAAATTGCATAATTAAACATGTATAAAGAATACCAAATATTTTGCTGGTGTTTTCCAGGTGCATGGTTCAGTGATGTAAAACTTTAAAATAAAATTTTTAAAAAGTCAACATGTTGTTTACAAAAATCCAGGTGGAAAATTCTTTTTGTGGCCAATTCTGTTTCATTCTTTTTTCTAACCTTTGTATAACCATTATCTTGACCTGATTCCAATGACCTTCACCTTTATATTAAGTTTTCATCTCATTTGGTTCAACAGTCATGACAAAGAAAACTGCTGACTATTAGATATTTTTTCACATCTACGTTTACAAAGAGGAAATAGTAAAAAATACATGGATTTCATAAATATTCTAAGAGTACAAGAAAAATTAAATACTCCAAGGTTCTTTAAGATAATTAAAACTTCCAAAATTCTGTGAAAATCAAGGCCTCATAATCAAAACTAGAACTGTCCAAACGTGACAAAATACCCCCCGCTGGGTTTTTTCAGAAGTAAGTTTTTCCATAATAAAGATATATATCAAACATGAATTATGAAATTTTTCTTCCAGTGACCTTGAACTTCCCCAAATGACCTTGGGTCAAGGTCATGACACACCCTTGGGTCATGGGCAATCTTTGTGTGAAATGACAACCTACCAAGTTTATCCATAAGAAAGAAATCGACCGGACACAAATTATGAATTTTTTCTTCCCCAATGACCTTGGGTCAAGGTCATGACATACCCTTCAGTCATGGGTAATCTTTGTGTGAAATGAGAACCTACCAAGTTTATCCTTAAGAAAGAGATGGATCAGAAACGAATTATGAAATTTTTCTTCCAGTGACCTTGAAGTTCCCCAAATGACCTTGGATCAAGGTCATGACAAACCCTTGGGTCATGGGCAATCTTTGTGTGAAATGAGAACCTACCAAGTTTATCCATAACAAAGATATGGACCAGACACGAATTATGAAATTTTTTCTTCCAGTGACCTTGAACTTCCCAAAATGACCTTGGGTCAAGGTCATGAAACATTCTTGGGTCAAGGGCAATCTTTGTGTGAAATGAGAACCTACAAAGTTATCCATAAGAAAGATATGGACCGAACATGAATTATGAAATTTTTCTTCCATTGACCTTCAAGTTCCCCAAATGACCTTGGGTTAAGGTCATGACACACCCTTGGGTCATGGTCAATCTTTGTGTTAAATGAGAACCTACCAAGTTTATTCACAAGAAAGATATGGACCGGACACGAATTATGAAATTTTTCTTCCAGTGACCTTGAAGTTCCCAAAATGACCTTGGGTCAAGGTCATGACACACCCTTGGGTCATGGGCAATCTTTGTGTGGAGTAGTAGATTCTAATGTCCCTCTGTAAGAAATATATGGACCAGACACGATTGCACAGACAGACGGACAAGGTGATTCCTATATACCCCCCCCCAAACTTCGTTTGCGGGGGGTATAATAAAGAGAAAAGTAATTTTGAAAAAATAATGATAGTATTAACTGCACATTCACACAGTACAAGATGTCCCATAAACAAGAGGCCCGAGGGCCTTGAATCCATTCACTGTGACCTATTTGGGCCAAGGATACCCTGTGACAATCATTGGCCAAGGGGTTCTAGAGTTATGGCCCATATTCTAAAAGGTTTATGCACACTGCACAAATGGCAACAGCATTAGCTCTTTGAGCCTTTGGCTCAAGCAGAGCTTTCCACAATACAATCGTCAAGTAAGACTTCACTCATGAACAAATCTGGTGAACTACCACAATGTGCTCCTCTAGAAACTACTGGATGTAAACTCATTAATTAAAATTAATTGTTCAGAATGTCACACATAAAACTTGTAAATTTCATAAATAGACTCCACTGGTTTCTCCATTAATCTCCCATTAAATACTTTTCTCCATTAATCTCCCATTAAATACTTGAAGTGAAACAAAATATATCATTCAGCGCTGAAAATGAAAATCTGGCTCCAGTAGACTAGCACACAATGGTCGATTTCTCAGAACTTGTAAATCCACAACATCATGGAAGCCTCGGTGCTGTGTATTTTGTGTGTCTGGGTGGCAGTCCTCCAATCTATGTAGCCGTCGCCACCGCTCACCACCACCACCGCGTTACAGTTCCTCCTCCTCAGCGTCTCGTACACCGCACTCGCACGCTCGCTACCGTGAGCTCGAAAAGATGGCCTCTGAGTAATACTTCTTTTGAAGTTTTTAAAGTTTTCTGAGACTCTTTTCTTTAGATTTACTGGTTTACCGGTCTCTGATTTTTCATCTTTACGTAGTTTGGGATTTCCTTGTGGTGAAATGTCACGTTTTAATGGTGCTTGTTCTTTTCTATAATCCTCATTTGACATTAAATCGCCATAGTACATTCTAATTTCGTTTTCATCCCCCTGAGAGCTGGTATCTGGGGTAGCAAGGTTTCTTTTGGCCAACTTCTGCATTAATTCCGTTCTTAGTGTCAAAGCTCTGCTCTGAATGTTTTCCGATTTTAAAAAATCTGCCACAGGGGATCTTGAAACTAAGTCTTCAGCTGACTTTGATTTTCGCCTATCGAGACCATTGCTTCCAATGTCAAAATTATTTTCAATTTTGGTGACCTGGGGTCCATTTGCTTTGCCCTCAGGTATCTCTTGTTCATCTTCTTTGTCTTGTTTTGGAATGTCTTCATCAACAGAATCCCTGCTTCCTTTGCGTCTCCTCACACTCGTGGCGTTCTCTCTCCACGCCAGAGATTCTGTGGACTGTAGACCCTGGGCTCTCTGCCACAGGTTTACAGTCCCGCAGTAAATGGGAATAAGGAACTGCACTGGTCCATTGTGAGAATGAAGTGATATATCTGGTCGGCCTTTTATCAGAGGTACCCCATCACGTAGCCGTGGTAAGGGGAGGGAACATACAATACCGAGGCTTGTCCCCACCCACAGTAACCCCCGGCTTGCCATCAGACTGGTCACAGTTGTAGTCTTGGGAATTTTCTCCTCAGAACTGTATTTGCTCTCTGCAAATAAAATTCAATCTTAATTTTACTGTATAATAAAAAATAAACAAAAATAAATAATAAACACTGCAATGCTCTTAAGAAACTAAATCTACATGACCTTTGTCAAAAACTTACTAATAATTCAAATACAACTATTTATTGCTTAAACTAAAAAAAAAAAAGTCTTAAAAACTCTCTCATTGTTAATACAAGAACATAATTATCTAACAAGCAAACATTCTTACCTGACATCATTCTGTCCACAGTGGACCCTATATTAATTTCCTGAAGGTTCTCCTTGGTCTCGATGTGATAAAGTCGGACATAAGATTTGTCCTTGAAGGACATCCACAGGCCACAACCTGATCTGACCATTTCTGATATCACAGCGCCCCCATCACACACCAGCTGGTCCTGTATCAGTAAACGTTCACAGTGTTTAAATAGAAAATAACAAGGACACTAGAATAAATGTCATTGAATCACTGTCTACTTTGAAACTTTCTTGAAGAAAAGAAAATGATTCATTTTTGAAAACAGGTAGTCAATGATTACAAAGCTCGCCATTCCGATTTTTATTTATAAGTGAAGGGGTGTCTCTCATCAAATGAATCAATGTTACCATAATACACATATCTATATGCAAACAAACACACAAGTTTGGTCTTTCACCTGCCCCTTTTTAATTTAGATGAATAGAAACTGCAAATACATGTAATTGAAATTAAGTCCAAGAGGCATTACTCTAAAATTGCTCGATCTTACCCAAAACAGAACTTGACTTAAAAATTCTTATAAATCTGAATACAAAATTTCATTTTTCATTTCAGTATGTGCAACATCTGCAAAGAAAATGAACAGATACTGTTGGTAGACCAAGAGACAGCAGCAAAGCAATATGTCCTCCCTTCTTGAAAGAGGAGGGGGGGGGGGTATAAAAAAGTTGAATCCTTTTGCTCATGGATACCCTTTTCCAAGTTTGAGTGAAACTGGCTCTGGAGGATAAGATGAAAAAGTGAAATGTTTGCACCCACACCAACAACAATGCAGAAAATGACAGACATTGGACAAATTTCAATCAAAAAAGCTCAATGGAACTTATGGCTCAGGTGAGCTAATTACAAAGAGAAAGTCTTTGTATAGACCATACAAGCAATGTGAAATGGTGATTTATGAAGAATTAATGAAAAGCAGGCATTATTGGTAGAAGCTAATACATCGGTTGTCATTATGCTCCATTAATATAATTTAGAAGGAAGATAAGTATGAAGCGAAAGCAGTTTTTGAGCTTGATGACAAAAGTAAATTATTTTTAAGTGAAGTATGAATATTAATAATAAAATATTTCCCTCACCCATTGTAAAAATTGTTTTCTGTTCTGGAAAGGTGTAATATCTCAAATCAAAAAGTCTGAGTAAAATGTCTGTGTTCTATTTCATTCTGAATTCTTGTTATACAAAGTGAAAGCTCTTGTTCTACAGGGAATATATTTGTTTCTCTATATATCTAAATGTATTTGCTATATATAAAGTAGGATTTTATACGGTTTTTACTGGTTCTTTAAACATGCATTTTAACCTATCTGTTGACTGAATCCAATATGATCTAAAAAAAAAAAAACTTAAAAAAAAAAACAAATCACACAAAAATAAAATTAAAATAAAAAAAAAAATAATTGCCTTATTAATTAGAAAAAAGTAAATGCATGCTTGTTCATTTATAATAAAAGGAACCAGATTTGATAATAAAAAATACATTATATTCTACAAATACTGTTATAAATAGCAGTACATGTAATTATATTTCACATATGTAAACATGTATATACACTGCAGCATGCATCTAAAGAAACCAAAATTTGGACCAAAGCAATGTTTTATATGTAAAAAAAAATCAATATAAATATATAAATTACTAGTAAAACAGTAGCTACACCAATGGTACAGTAATGATGCTTAATAAATATGATAAACAAGCTTTATTGCAAAAAACCATGCTATAACAATTATGTTTTTATTACCAATAATTACACATTAATAAGAAACTGGCTGATTCTATTAAAGAGATATAATAATAAATTATTTATTTTTTGTTGCCTACAGTGGCTGGCTATAGCAATGTTTAACTGATTACTGATATAAAAAGACTGGAAATGAGAATTTCTGAATATAATAAGCAACTGCTATTATATAAAATATTGCTGTGATGAACATTACCTTGAATTGATTTTCGTCCACCGGGATGATGTAAATTGTGTCGCTACATGCCACCCATATTTCATCCTCTATAGCTATGATACAGGAGATGGGCATGTCACATCCTATCTCTACTATACTGGGGGCTTCCACTTTCCACTTCCCAGTTGCTGGAGAGAGAAAAAACATGAGTATAAGATTGCAAACTCGGCTTACTGTATATATGTCCATTTTAATGAGGTTATGTTAATCACCATTTCTTCCATGAAATCATGACTTACTATCGTCTCTGTCATAAATAATTAGTTTTCCGTCCCTGAGTCCAACAAACACTCTGTCATCTGCGTATTTCATTGCCACGGCAATGCCATGACAGTAGAATTTACTGCGAGGTTTTCGTCCACCAGTGGTAAAATTTCTAACTCCATTCTCATCCAACAGACTGTATACCAGTATCCTTAAAAGAGTTGATGTACAAGAAATCATTGGTGGTGTCAGCAACCTTTAATTTGATATACACTGTCATAAAGAGACCCTGAAAGACTTCTGAGAATTGTGGAGTTTCTCAACATAGCAACATCCCGGGGCTTACTCTGGTACCAGGGTACAGGGAATTTACATTTTTCATATGAGGGATAATTGTCTACCATAATCATACTAACAATTTTCTAAAGATGCAGATAGAAGTTTTACCAACAAAACAAAACAAAAGACAGAGTAATGGGCCATAAGAGTGACTTAGGTTACTTAACAATATCATGTCCCTTACAAAGAACAAGGAACATACTACTAAAATAAAACTGATCAAATAAGCCAATTTAATCAGTCCACCATCTACTCTAGCGTCCACTCACTCGCATTTTTCAGTGGACATCCAAATTGTGTCCTCTACAAAGGGTTCATCTTGTTCTGTCAGTGAGATGGCTGGGACTGTTTCCACGGTAACAATCTCTGTGTCTGCTGCTTTGAAGGACTCAATAAGAGCGAGTCTAGTTGTCTGGACCGACACCAGGGAGACCTGCGCCCGAGTTTCTGACGTTGTGACAACCCAAAGGTGCTGCAAACTGTTGTCAGAGTTACCTCCCCCATCAGACAGGTATACAGGGACAGCACACTTTACCTGGTAGAAAACAATAATTTTTCTTCAGATCTTCATTGAATATCAACAAGACCGACTGCACAGAAACATATCTCCCCCAAGAAAGAGTTACATAAATCAACTAAATCTGTGAACAAGCCTTGATTAGAAAGAACTTGCCGATAATGTGCCTTTTACAATCAACTTTCAATTAGTTTCATCCAATACAGGATGATAAATTGAATCAGAAAATGCATTTAGCACTCTTGAACATATCTAATGCCTCAACTAAAGTAAAATAGAAATATTTGATATAATATTATTGTTTGATTGATTACAGTGTGATGTAGATACCTTGGTGAAGTGTTTGGGCAGGTCTACAGACATGTGCTTGACATACATGGCTGGTTGGTGAATAGATTTTGGTTTCCCAGATACACCTGACATGAACCAGCTGGGATTGTTCAGTGGGTCTAAAAATAGATTTATTACATCCAATCAGATCTTCAAGAAATTTACATACATATATGTATATTGTATATGATTAATGAATTTTCTACACAATATCACAATATATGCCTGATCCTATTCCGAAATGGAAGCATACAATGATTTGATACTACATACCTTTAGTAAGTTTTGTCATGATAAAGTCAATGCTCCATTCCTGTTTTATTTCTGGTGAAGTGGTTTGGAAAATACTCCTATACTCTTTCCTGTCAAGTAATGCAAATTATCACTTATTAATGAATTTCAATACACAACCATTCAACAGAATCTTAACCCTAGTAATTGGCTGTGTGTCTGTCAGTATTGTTCTACTTACCCACCATACTTGGCGTCCTGCTGGGTGATAGTAGAACTATTGAGAACTTGGAGTTGTTGGTCTTTAGTTTGACTGTATGTCTGTCCGTAGTGTTTTACTTACCCACCATACTTGGCGTCCTGTAGGGTGATAGTAGAACTATTGAGGACCTGGAGTTGTTGGTCTTTGGCCTGGATTTTTAACTGTAGATCTGCCTTGGCTTCTTGAATTTTCTCCTCTGTTATACACTAATATAGATCACCAAGACAATTATTTCATCAGTATAGTACACATATTTCAAACTGGGTAATAAAGTTTCTTCTTTGTATAAAATAAGAATGAGAAATAAATAATACGGAACAAGTCTTATGTACATATTGATAGAATTTTTTTAAAGATATAATGGCCAGAAATTGCACAGAATTTGAAAAGGCTAAGAGTAATATTTTCCAGTACCTCGTAGGAAAGTTTGAGAGAGTTGACCAATGTGCTGATTTGTCCAAGGACGGTCACATCATGCATCATATCACTGATGTCACTGTGAAGGTTAAAAAGGTCATCCTCTTTACACTCTGCAGAATATATAGTGCAAATTAATATCATTAAAAATTACTTCAGCCTAATCAATAAATTTTAGAGAAAATGCATACATGTATAACGTTTAAATAGTTTTACAGTCAAAGGACATATTTTATTCGCCACTTCTGCACAAATAGCGTCACGTTTTCTCAAATGTTTTGTAAAGTAGGGCTGAGTGCTATTATTAGACAACAGATTTTCCCTTCCTTTTTTTATCTTTGTGTTGTAATACTAAAATTGATGACGTATACACAATATATTTGCCCTCAGCTTTATTGTTTGTCGATAAATTTATGTAAAAACAACATGGGTGGGTCAGAAGGGGGAAGAATTAGATAATAAATGGGGAAAGAATTAGAAACATCTACCAACAACAGATGTTTGTTGACTGAATTTGTTATTGACTTACCTACAACAGGTGTCTGAATACTGAATTTGTTGGAGTTGACTCTCAAAATACTTTGCATGTCAGGAGTGATAGCAGTATCCTTTAATTCCAATTCATGTATAGGTTTCATCCACTTCACTTTCTGATTATTCCTGTAAATCAAAAATATAACTAGAACTGTCCAAACGGGACAAAATACCCCCCGCTGGGTTTTTCAGAAGTAAATTTTTCCATAAGAAAGATACGTATCAAACATGGATTATGAAATTTTTCTTCCAGTGACCTTAAAATTCCCCAAATGACCTTTGGTCAAGGTCATGACACACCCTTGGGTCATGGGCAATCTTTGTGTGAAATGAGAACCTACCAAGTTTATCCATAAGAAAGATATAGACCGGACACGAATTATGAAATTTTTCTTCCAGTGACCTTGAAGTTCACCAAATGACCTTGGGTCAAGGTCATGACACACCCTTGGGTCATGGGCAATCTTTGTGTGAAATGAGAACCTACCAAAGTTATCCATAAGAAAGATATAGACCGGACAGGAATTAAGAAATTTTTCTTCCAGTGACCTTAAAGTTCCCCAAATGACCTTGGGTCAAGGTCAACACACCCTTGGGTCATGGGCAATCTTTGTGTGGAGTAGTAGATTCTAATGTCCCTCCGTAAGAAAGATATGGACCAGACACGATTGCACAGACGGACAGCTAGACGGACGGACAGCTAGAAAGACAGACGGACACGGTGATTCCTATATACCCCCCAAACTTTGTTTGCAGGGGGTATAATTAAGATGGTTCATAAATAATACCTCTAATTAAAAAGTTAAACAGTAAATTCTGAAATAATTTTTCATTTTAATGTTCAGAAATATCCTCATGATCTTATATTTTAGAAACATTTTATTTGGTTATGATTAAGGTAATACTAGTCCCTGTATTTACATGTATAATTCTTCACAGTTTTTGACTCAAATAATTCATAAACTGCATAAATATCCATGCTTAAAGATTTCTTGAGCCTGGTGTAAAATGACACACAAATAAAAAAAAGTCAAAATATCTAAAAGAAACCAACCCCTGAACAGAGCAGCAGATAATGCAGTCATCCAGTAGGTAGAGCTTCCTGACCTTAGTGGCAACACTTCTGTCTTGGCTCTATAAAATACCGTATAAAGTATTTATAGCTATTTTTATAATTTATCATTAAGGTTCACTGCCCCTGTGCTAAGAGAGGTAACTCTCACTGGGACATGATTATATTTTTTTTCACTGTTGTGTAAAATTCAAAGGTGATTTCTTTCTAATTTAGCCCTGAGAGGTATACTGAAATTATGTGCATTTTTACTTGTAAGTTAAATTTCTTCTTGAAAAAGTAAATAAAGGAATGATGGACCTTGTATCCATTTGCCTTTTTTTCTGAATATATAAATACACAAATGAATTTATAATTCTATTTAAAAATCATTAAATTTGATATGTGCTAATGAGATTGTTTCCATGGCAACAACCTCTGAATTTGATCTTTTTTAAAACTGTCAAAACTATGAAGAAAATCCCATTGCAATTAAAGAAAGTTAAAAAAAATAATCCTTACCATTTCCTCCATGTCATCTTGTCTGACAAGACGCGGCTGTTTCTCTCCAGGAACCTTAAAGTTAAGGACCTTTTGTAGTTTTTTGGCCTGGAAGAGTTCCTCAGACTCCCGCTTCCGCTCATTAAGGATGTGTGTGACATTCTCCAGATCTGTCAGAGCTGTCTGGAGAGAGGACCGGTCATGATGGTGGTGTGGGGTATACTTCAACAAATCCTGTTAATAATTTTAAAGTTATTATTATGAATTGATTTTTTTTCATAAAATATACAACCCTGATCTTGTTCATGTGTCTCACATTAACCTTCAACAGTTGTGTTACCTTTATTAGTTGTCTTTCTTACCCTTTGTCAGTTGTCATACTTAAGCCCTCATCCAATGTCTTACTGTGACCTTCATTAGTCATATTCTCTTAACCTAATCAGTTGTCCTATACTGGTACTTTAACGCTTACCTTAATGAGCATGATGAACTGAGGGAACCTTTGGATTGGTTTTACCATCAGACCAAACAGGTTTAAGCGGTCCACACTTCTCTTTGACATGTTCTGTAGAAGGAGAAAAATATCAAAATTAACTACTGAAAATATACTGGTAATTTGTATCATACTAGAATTCAGTTTAGATAAAAATTTTCTTGTCAAACCTTGAAATTAATCTGATAAATTATTACTTTTGGGTTATAAGTGAGATTATCTTCTTAATTCACACAACATTAAGAAATGCAGTAAGAATTGCACTTACATTAAGGAATTCTTCTAAGCCTGGCTTAGATACTTGAGCTGCCTTAATTTCCTCCATAGTCATAGCAAAGTTATTCACATATTCACTGTACACATTCACAACCATGTCTCTAGAAAACTAAAGGGGCATGGCATGAAAAAAAAAATGTCAAAAAATAACAGGCAATATCAAACACGATCTTTTCATTGTAGAAATTTAAATTTATTTTCTGTATTGAAAAATACAACAAAATTCTTCATATTTCAGCATTGAATATGACAAAAGTTATATGTGTCAGTCCATTTTCATGTTGGGCAAATGCACATAAGGTACATAGATAGATGACAAATGCTTGTGCGGATCAATAAAAAATATTTCTTATTAATAATTTAGATTAGTCCTTCTGTTCCATGACTTTTTATTTTATCAAGATGACCCAATGCATCTATCCAGTGTCAAAGTGTAAAGCATAAATATTTACATGTAATGATGTACATAAAACCTATCAGCAGCAATATGTTTGCATCACTTGATAAAAGTCAACTATTCTATGTATTTGCTATTGCATATACTACAACAATTGCAACATTTTACAAATGTTATAAATCTCTGATTTCTCCTTACTGAAGCTGTGAATATTCCCCCAATTTTCTCCTCCGTGTACCATTTAGATACACTTTCTGCCAACTCTATCTGGAACATCATATGGTGATGGAGAATTTCCTGGGCTTTTGAGAAAACCACTCGAACACACTCTTTGTCCAGGTTATATTTGAACAGGATATCACTCTTGTAGTCCTATTGGGTGGATAATTATGTATCATTAGTTAGGAGATTTTATTAAACTAACATAAAACTGACTTTAATATTGATCAGCACTTTGGTAAAATATGTAAAGGAAATACATAATGAAAGATCTTGAATCTTTTTCATGATATTGTAATTTGTAATTGAATTCACAGTTTACAATCAAGTATTTATGGCACAAGGTCCAGCATAATAAAATGTCATGGTCTTTTTAATTCATGTAGGAACAGAAGTGCTTACAATTTTAATTTCAACAATCTTCCATTGAGATGAGATACTTACATTGACAATTCTACTGAGTGAATCCATGTAGGATTTCTCGCTGTCTATAATGTTCCTCACCACGTGAGCTTTCTTCTCCTGTAAATAAACCAGAAGTCTCTGTCGAGACTGTAGCTCTACTGGTTTATACATAAAACAAAGGAAGAGAAAAGTAGCAGCTGGGACTTGAAACTTTAAAATAGCAATTAATAGAAAAATGGTCCTTGCCGCTTATCAAAATAAAAACCAATGCACAGAATAATGTATCTTAGTATAGCCTACTTGTGTGCCAAGTTATACTGAAATCAGACAAAAACTGTAGGAGGAGTAGCATTTTGAAAGAATTTCACAGAAATTTCTATTTTTAGTAACCATGGCAACATCGTTTATCGAAATCCAAAACCGATGCATAGAATTATGTACCTTAGTATAGCCTACTTGTGTGCCAAGTTATATTGAAATCAGACCAAAACTGTAGGAGGAGTAGCATTTCGAAAGAATTTCACAGAAATTTCTATTTTTAGTAACAATGGCAACACCATTCATTGAAATCCAAAACCAATGCACAGAATTATGTAACTTAGTGTAGTCTACTTGTGTGCCAAGTTATTTTGAAATCAAACCAAAACTGTAGGAGGAATAGCATTTCGAAAGAATTTCACAGAAATTTCTATTTTTAGTAACCATGGCAACATCGTTCATCGAAATCAAAAAACCGATGCACAGAATTATGTACCTTAGAGTATTCTATTTGTGTGCCAAGTTATATTGAAATCAGACCAAAACTGTAGGAGAAGTAGCATTTTGAAAGAATTTCACAGAAATTTCTATTTTTAGTAACCATTGCAACACCGTTCATTGAAATCCAAAATCGATGCACAGAATTATGTAACTTAGTGTAGTCTACTTGTGTGCCAAGTTATATTGAAATCAAACCAAAACTCTAGGAGGAGTAGCATTTTGAATGAATTTCACAGAAATTTCTATTTTTAGTAACCATGGCAACACCGTTTATCGAAATCCAAAACCGATGCACAGAATTATGTAACTTAGTGTAGTCTACTTGTGTGCCAAGTTATATTGAAATCAAACCAAAACTGTAGGAGGAGTAGCATTTTGAAAGAATTTCACAGAAATTTCTATTTTTAGTAACCATGGCAACATCGTTCATCGAAATCCAAAACCGATGCACAGAATTATGTATATTAGTGTAGTCTACTTGTGTGCCAAGTTATACTGAAATCAAACCAAAACTCTAGGAGGAGTAGCATTTTGAAAGAATTTCACAGAAATTTCTATTTTTAGTAACCATGGCAACATCGTTTATCGAAATCCAAAACCGATGCACAGAATTATGTAACTTAGTGTAGTCTACTTGTGTGCCAAGTTATATTGAAATCGGACCAAAACTGTAGGAGGAGTAGCATTTTGAAAAATTGTTTACAGACAGACAGACAGACAGACGGACAGACAGACGGACGGACGACGGACGCATTACTATCGCATAAGCTCTTCTGGTCTCTGACCAGTAGAGCTAAAAAAATTAAATAATTTTTTTTATGGAAATAGATCTAAAGTTACTGCCATTCTGTTCAATAAAAGTATTATCATATCTGTTCTTTAATTAGCAGCCTGAACTAGCTTACAGAGACTAGAGTTTTGTATGGGTGTATGCATGGTATTGATTTGCTGATATATTGACAAGTTACATATATTTGTTTCTACATTTACTTAGTCAAAGACATTGTTAAATTCATCATATTTACATGAAAAGCATGGCAAATCAGTAATAAAAGCCTTTATCTATGCCTGGGATACATCTAATATAATGAATATACAATAATCATTATTAAACAATATTATTTTTATTGCGTAATTCAATAAAATTGATTGGTTTGGTGTATTTCACGTGTTAAATTATATTTTGCCAATAAAGACTTGAGTTACTAAGAAGAGAAAAGGGAAAATCCAAGATTTGTTTTATTGATTTATTGATTATGATTAGTTCATGATCGAAAATTTTAGCCAATGGAAATCGTTCTATGTGCTCGGTCGATATGCTTTTCTGTGAAGTCGATATATCTATGGATCGACCTCATCAAAGGGCTATATTTATATAAAAGCAATGGTCATGTGAAGTTACCCACAGATACTTTAGCTAGCATTTTTTTTTTTTTTAGATTATCCTAAATGATTCATTGAAAAAAAATTCTAGAGCAGTCTACAGTATTAAAATAAAATTCCCATTCTCTATCTTTTAATAAAATGTTGTGGAACTGTCCATGTGACCAGTACCTAAAGAATGATCTTTTTAAGCATTATGTCATTGTGTAGACTTAGTTAAAAGCATGGCAAAAATGATGCCATATGACCAGATATGGCTCATGTAAATCCACTAAATACTCTTGGCTCTATGTGAGATAGATTTTTGGATTATTGAATATCACAATACAGGGTATATTGATTTATACTCACTCCTGACTTCCTAACTCCATCAAACTGAGCAGTGAAGATGTTTATCTGCATTAAATGTATGCAATGATATAATTTTAGCAAAAGTTGAAAAAGAGTCAAGTATTTTAAATACCATCATCCACCTATTCTTCAGGTATTTAACCCTTTTTTCTCTTGGTCTCCTTGTGTTTGAGATAATGAGGTTTGACTGTAGGTTGCAATAAGAGAACATATTGCGTAGTTTGACAAATTTGTAAATTATTTATAATTGAACATACAGACCCTAAACCGTGCTACTACACCACTTGCACGGTACGGTTCGGTACGCTTTGTTCACGGAACGGTTCGCTTTGTTCACGGTACGGTACGCTTTGTTCACGGAACGGTTCGCTTTGTGCACGGAACGGTACGCTTTGTGCACGGTACGGTTCGCTTTATGCACGGAACGGTACGCTTTGTGGACGGTACGTTTCGTTTCTTGCACGGAACGGTTCGTTTTGTGAACGGTACGCTTTGGGAAACGGTATGCAAATGAAGTGGGCGGAGTCTGTTAGCTTTGGTCATTGATTGGCTGCTAAAAAATAGTCCATTTTAAACGAATTTTGAAGATCGTTATGCACGTGTACAATTTTATTTCCGTTATTAAAGAATTTAATTTATTTAATTATTCATATAAATTGAAGTATTAATGAGTTTCTATTTATTGGGGAAGTTCAAATGTTTTATTACATGTACATGTATGCTATTGTGTGTATCATAGCCTTGTGTGCTATGTTTCGGTTTCAATTTTAAAAATTAATTTACGCTGAAGCAGTGATGGAGGAAATAAGAAAATAAAATGAAAGGAAAAACATCGTCCCACTGATCTTTTCGCCATTTGTAAATATATTGATATATATAGAAGGTAAATATTTCCGTACGTATTTTAATTTTACGTATGCCGAGGCTGTGTCTTAAATAGAAAAAAGACACACATGTATATAATAATTTTTCATTCTAGAATAAAGCTTTAACAGAATTGAATATATACTTGTTCTATATTTAACACTATACACGTATATAAATTATTTTCAATTGATTGATCTACAGAAAAAAATATGAGTATTCGTGCTTTTATTTTTAATCTTAGTAATAAGAAATGTAGATTGTTTCTCATTTTTAAAATTGTTTGATCTATCGTTTAAATGTCTGCCTTAGAAGAGAAATATCAGTCACAAAAAAATAAATTTATTAATAAAAAATGTTGAAGAAAAATTAGTTTAAAAAATTTACAGGGCATAGAATACTTGTATGTTTGTTTTTTTTTCTTTTTTCTTAAGTGAATCTTTATTTAATCTGAAAATCTTTAATTACTCTGAATTTAGGAACGAAAATCAGAGGCAGAAACTCGGAATCAATAAAATGACTTCAGATCGCATTTCGCGTGAAGAAAACATTTCTTTTCATAAACTAGAATTATGTTTTTAAAAATCCTTTCAGTCTAAGTAATTATTTAAATAAGTTTTTCTTCATTCTGATAAGTTATTCTTTTCTTGTAAAATGTGTAAATACTATGTCGTGAAAGAGAGAGAGAAAGAGGGAGAGATGCAACCCCGTTACATAATCTGTATAAAAAAAAAAAAACAATACCTTGTATTTTTCTCATTCTTGGTTTTATTTACATTGCCAATGTCACATATGCTATTTAATTTCCACAACTTTGGTTCAAACTCAACCTATTTACAACTATTGCTCAATGCATTCGTTCTCTGCACATACATGCTGTACGCAGGAAATCCTTGTGCATCACCTGTCAATCAAAATCGCATGACGCTAGGTGACCTTGAAAGTCTGTTTACGCGGAAAGAATTTCTCTTTTGATTTGAAACATTCTGATGGTCAGTTCAGAATTCACACCTTTTAAAAAATATTGGGTCACAGCCAGAGGGTCGGGGTGCCGTGTATTTAACACACCTTTCAAATTATTTAGCTTTGACTACATCAAGTGTACATGCATTTTTAAAACTCACTCAACTGACATTCAGCGAAACTTATCTACTTCCTAAAATGTCCCTTTTCAGACACAATTAGATAAGGGTGTATCCATTAATTATCATTATAGCGTCACATTAATTCGCAGACTTTTGATGAGTTTTAACTAGCTAATTAGTATCACCTTCTGGAAAGGGGGGGGGGGTGGTAACAAACATAATGTGGCGTGAAATAGGATTGAGAAAAATCATTGTATTTTTTTATTTTCATTTTATTTTGTAAGTTTTCCTTTTTTTAGACACAAATAAGCAAGTATCCTGTAGACTATGATTTTTATTAGTCAGATATATCCGTTCAGTAGAAATCTGAAGTCCCTGTTTACCGCATGTGATATTTAAATCCATATTAGACAGAATTGCCGATTTTCAGTGTAAGTCTAACTGCATCAGTGATTCGCCGAGTATAATTATCTGAGCAGAATTAATTAATATAATATGAGTCTAATACATTTTTTTAATTTTACTTTAGCCAGACAGTTCATAATTATATGTTTTAAATTTCTTACAAAATAATTAATTAGTAAAATCAGGCATCTGATATAAACTACATATGAATGCATACTTACGGCAAAAACGATCGTGTATCTGATTCAGCAATTGAAATGGACAAAATTAGAATCGAAATTAAGTCAAGACAACCAGGGAATTAGTTTAAACATCTATATAGTTAAATTACGAATATTGAAGTACAACAAACATTTTTTTTTAAAAAGTTGATTCTTAAATAAAGAAAATAAAAATATTTATTATCAGTTCCGTAATGGGGAACTGTCATATACCGTGTTACACGGTGTCCACAATCGCTGACTTCAAAGATGCCGACATCGAGTTCAAGGTTCACGGTGCCCGTGTTTTGCGGGAAAAACTCGTGGCCTGTTCTGTACCTTTGATCACAAACACAACGAGTTGATCTAATTTATAGCAATTAAGTAATCAATGTAAACTCTGTCTAGTTGTTTTGAATTTTCACAGTTGAAAGTCCAGATGCATGTTATTTGATAATGGTGTTTCAAATAGCCAGACATAACCTCCGTCCTCTTTCACGGGCGCTATTGAGAGAAATAAACCAAAATGACTTATTTGGTCAAAGCACGGTTCGAAAATCATTGGGGGCGTGGTTTGCATAATTAACCAAAGAACGGTACGGTTCGTTTCTTGCACGGAACGGTACGCTTTGTGGACGGTACGGTACGCTTTGTGCACGGAACGGTTCGCTTTTTGCACGGTACGGTACGCTTTGTACACGGAACGGTTCCCTTTGTGAACGGTACGGTACGCTTTGAGAACGGAACGGTTCGCTTTGTTCACGGTACGGTACGCTTTGTGCACGGAACGGTACGGTTCGTTTCTGAGGTGTAGTAGCACGGTTTAGGGTCTGTATTTTAACCATTAAACTTCCTTATTTGTTGTAAGGGTGTTTACATTTATTTCAATATTTGTTTATTCACATCACACACATATATAGCTTGTATTGATGGATTGACTATTATGTACTTTTATAATAATTTGTTTTTAAAAAAAAAAAAAAAACAGTTTGCGACTTTAAAATTTTTATAGGTTTGCAATGATTTATGTAAAACCTTAAATATGTTCATATATCTTTTTTTAGTGTACTAGTGATTAGGATCTCCAGGTGAAGAAAGAATGGTTGTATACAGTAAATTCCTAAATATACATGTGGAATTAATTATCGTGTAATTTCGCAAGAAGCACCGCATGCGAAATAAAATTACTCGCCTTTATTTTTTTTGTGCTGAAATCTATGTAAAATCTCATGATCAAGCGTTCATTCGCAAATAATTATTCTTGCGATTTGCTGCTGAAGAGCACATTTGAGATAATAAGTACTCGCCAAAAATAAGGAATCTACAGTAAGTCCCTCTCAAACACTAATTAAATTCTTTTTTCAGACCTTCTGGAGACATGTCATAAATGACATTTGATTTTTCTTTGATACCCAAAGGTGTCAACTTTGAAATCAAAATTATCTGAGCTTATGTGTTAAACCCTCTTCAGACATTATCAGTCCTATTCATTACCTCTTCCATTGTCAGTCCCTCTGGGGAGGGAGGGAGACAAGGGGACGGGTATTCTTAACTTGTGACATTATAAGTCCTATATAATACCTATTCCCTTATCAGCCCCTCTAGGGAGGGTGGGAGACAAGGGAGAAGGTATGCTTCGTGATCCTTTTTCAGTTCTATTCATTACCTGTTCCTTTGTCAGCTCCTCTGGGGAGGGTGGGAGACAAGGGGGTGGGTGTTTTTCTAGATCTCTTCTGATATGATTACCCCTTTGTTTTAACCTGTACCTTTTTCAGTCCTATTTATCATGTTTATTACCTGTTCCTTTGTCAGCCCCTCTGGGGAGGGTGGTACACAAGGGGGGGGGGGGGTTTCTAGATCTCTTCTGATGTGATTACTCCTGTATTTATTACCTGTTCCTTTGTCAGCTCCTCTGGGGTGGGTGGGAGACATGGGGGTGGGTGTTTTTCTAGATCTCTTCTGATATGATTACCCCTTTGTTTTAACCTGTACCTTTTTCAGTTCTATTCATTACCTGTTCCTTTGTCAGCTCCTCTGGGGAGGGTGGGAGACAAGGGGGTAGGTGTTTTTCTAGATCTCTTCTGATATGATTACCCCTTTGTTTTAACCTGTACCTTTTTCAGTCCTATTTATCATGTTTATTACCTGTTCCTTTGTCAGCCCCTCTGGGGAGGGTGGTACACAAGGGGGGGGGGGGGGTTTCTAGATCTCTTCTGATGTGATTACTCCTGTATTTATTACCTGTTCCTTTGTCAGCTCCTCTGGGGAGGGTGGGAGACAAGGGGGTGGGTGTTTTTCTAGATCTCTTGTGACATCAGTCCTATTTATTACCTGTTCCTTTGTCAGTCCCTCTGGGGAGGGTGGGAGACAAGGGGGTGGGTGTTTTTCTAGATCTCTTGTGACATCAGTCCTATTTATTACCTGTTCCTTTGTCAGCTCCTCTGGGGAGGGTGGGAGACAAGGCGGTGGGTGTTTCTCTAGGTTTATGTTGACAGGTTTGACTGGACACTCCTCCTCGGGTGAAGCTCGTCGTAACTTGGAGGGGTCAGGAAGTGGGGGAAGTGGTTTATCGGGGTACTCCAATGTCCCTGTAAATTTAAATTTAATTAAGTACAAATTATAAATAACAGGCAATCAGTAATAACTTATGTTGACAAAACACTCTCCCCTTCCAAAAAGACATTTATTGAACTACATTTGGACAGATTTTATTTCCCTTCTTCAGAGGATGCTTTGTGGTACATGTAACTTATATGGCCTGATGGCTCAGATCTCGAAAGTTGTGAAGTTAACTGTTGTAAGATGCATTTTTTATGATATATCTTTATGATAACCTGAGTATCACAGTACAGAATTTTAACTTTTCCCACCAATATTAAGTGTTCTTCCTTGAATCTCAATAATAAGTCAATATATAGTTACATGTATTTGTCAGAATAAAACTATGCTTTTAATTAATTTTACTAAATTTTAAATAAAACAAGAGATGTTTGGAAAACACTTTTGCTCTCCCTCCCCCAACATTATTGGAATTTTTCAAAGTCCAAGGGGCATAACTCTGTTCCAAATTGCTCAATTTTACCCAAAACAGAACTTGATTTAGATATTTATATAATAAATCTGTATACAAAATTTCATTATAGCATGTGCAACCTCTGCAAGAAAATGAACGAAAACTGCAAATAATTGGAATTTTTCTAAGTCTAACGGGCATAACTCTGTCAAAATTGGCTCAATCATACCCAAAACAGAACTTGCCTATGATATTCTTATGATAAATCTCTTTACCACATTTCATTTCATTATGTGCAATCTATAATGAACAGAAAATTGGTGGACCAACAGACCAACTGACAGGCAGCAGCAAAGCAATAGCCTCCGTTCCTCGAAGGGGGGTATAAATTTTTATAAATAAAACACAACTGCTGTCAAGTAAATTAATTTACAGATGATTCCGATCAATATAAATTCACATCATTACTTTTTTTAATGGACACTGACCATTTTCTTCCTCCTCAGAGCTCTCCCTGCTGAAATCTGACCCCCAGGATAACGCGCTGTTAATGGTCGAGGACCGGGGGTCACTGGGACTGGACTGTCGACCCACGGGCTCGTAGAACTCCTCACTACTCTCATCAGCAACTGTCAAAAAATTACATTAATAGTAAAAACCAAAAAATTATTTCAGTTTGGAAACTGAATTCAAATATCATCATAATTAGCCGAGATAAACATAGGATCAAGAACTGTACAGTGGTGACCTTCATCTTGGTGACCTTGAGATTGTCCTTCATTGACATTTCCAAAACTGAATCTTAGATAATTAATTAATTCTTCCTGTAACTGTGCATTATTATACATTTCTCCACAATATTTGGAGCATCCTTTTTCCACTAATTCATATTATTTGATTTTAGATGATCATTCAACAAACTGGTCCTCTTCAAGAAACGCCATTATTAGCTTCGATAATTAATTAAATCATCCAGTAAACAATAACTTCCTGGCCTGCTCAAAAAATATCTTTGCTAATATTTCTGAGACTGTTTCTTTTATGAGGAGATCATTCTTCCTTTAACTGTGTATGCATAGTCACAATTTCAAAACCTCTTTCATTCTAAAAATTAATTTAGGAAAAAACCTATAATTGATGTCTGTTAGTTTCCTGATTTAAGAACAATAATGGGACAATGATTTGAAGTGCTTAAAACATTATTATTGACTGGTTTAAAAAGCAGAGAAACATTGTATTCATTTAAAACATCTTAGTTTTCTTTTAGGAAGGAAAGGCACTTCTAAGTGTACTTAAAATAATTTAAAATGCAATATTAAAATGATGCTCTCTGTAGAAATGATTTAGACAAGTGATCTTCTAATATATACTGTTGAATGGATCAATGCAGTTTTACAGCACATTTGAATACTTAATTCTGGCAAGTGATACATTTTTTCTCATTTTCCAAGCTTGTAAATGGAACTTATCTCTTTTCTAAAAGTCTAATTGTTATATGCAAAGAGAAAGATTTTTTTTTTTCTTTTGACTAAAAATTAAAAAGAATCATGTATTTAGAAGGGACAACCCTTAAAGAACTGTGTTTTATGAAGAAGAGACAACTACTTATAAATTAACAATCATATTGTTCATGAAGAAAATCAATTTTGACCCTCAATCTTGCAAATTACTGTGATGCTCTCTAAAAATTGGTTCTAAAACTCAATCCGCAATCTCTGCATATCCTAAAATGAGCTCAATTTGCAACACAGAATATATCTTTAATAACACCCAGATGATATCATTTGAACAACTATAAACTAGTTAGTACAGTTTAAAAGTACCGGGTAAGCATGAAATGTAAGAGGTTAGATCAGTATGCATTATGCTTGTTGGTGTGCACTGTGTTTGGACAACAGAAGAAAGCAAGTATAAAAAATTCCTCTTAAAGAGATTTAACTGGTACATGGTGGCCAGTTGTAGATATATTTATGTGATATCAGATGGATAAATAAAGAATCTTGCTAAACCTAGATAATTTCTGCAATGCATTTATTTTCTTTGCAAATTATCAATAAGGTACATGTCATTGTAATAGAACAGTAATTGTACTGACAATTTTTGATGAGGAACTGGAATAATATATCTTGCATATTCACTCTACTTTTGATTGATCTATTTAGTATTACATATTGACAGAGAACAAATTATTGCTCTTACACGGCAGCACACACCTCAAACTTATCAGGTGCATTTAATTTTAACCTGCTTTAGCCATCCTTAGTATTTATATATTTCAATAACAAGGGAGAAAATTTGTTACGTAATGAATGTAATATTAATCCAGCTGAAATATCAAAAGGATTGGAAAACTACGGAAAATATTTCGGAAGTCCTCAAGTGCCTTAAGTGGCTTGATCTCATCACAGACTTGATCCAAAGTGACCTCTCAGTTGACAAACATGTGCTGTATTTTTCTTGTCGCCTTTACATGAGTTGATGGTTACCGTATATAGTATGTACACGTTCATGTTTATTTATATATATCTAAAAGACTACAAGGTGCAAACATCACTCAATCTGACACTAAGGGTACTTGCAAGAGTTTCATTTTTTACAAGAGATATTTGTAAAACATGTATGACCCCCTCCCCCAAATAATGGAAGATTTTCTAAGTCAAAGGGGCATAATTCTGTCCAAAAGGACTCAATCTTACCCAAAACAAAACTTGATATCTTAGATATTTTTATGATAAATCTGTATACCAAATTTTGTCTCAGTATGTCCAACCTCTCCAAAGGAAATGAATGGAAACTTGTTGGACCAACAGACAGAACGATCAACAGATAGCAGCAAAGCAATATGCCCTCCTTTCTTCAAAGGAGGGCATAAAAATTTATTTGAATTTTAACTTTGTTTTTTTTTTTCTAGCTGAATAATATTTGGTATTATTGTTCTACAGTAATTAAGTGCTATTTTTTTTATATTCTTGGATCAGTCACTGCAATTACAAATGTATCCGAGTCTTATTATATTGTGACCTTCATACTTTCAACTGCTCATTATAAAAACAGGAAATTTTATATATTAAAAATAAACTTTGAATTTTCTTCATATTTTTCCTGTTACTGGTATCAATTGTACACATAAAGCAGTTTTCTTCCCTGAGAACTTCCCTTTTTCTCTTTCTTTTTTTGAACAGAATGCAATCAATTTGTTGAGAGACTATGAGAGAATCCTTATACTACCAAATGAAGGAAAGGTTAACTGGTGACCCCAAAGATATATCACCATGACAACAGTACAACACAATTTATTTTTTATGTCAATGTAAATAAAAGGTAATCCGTCACATTCCTATAATTCACTGTACTATGGGACACACCTCATTGCAATTTAGTAATCTCAGGCAAAATTGTTACATTAATCCATTTCCAATTGGGCATACTGAGAAAGATACAAAAGGGGTCTTTAATAAAGCATTGAATTCATATTTTAGGATGTCTTCAGTCCTATAACACACCTGGCCATGCCGACAAATTGAATACCGCGCGGTAGTGCGGTATGATAATTTTTCGTCACGGCCAGGTGTGTTATAGGACTGAAGACATCCCAAAATATGAATTCAATGCTTATGTTTATATTCTTTAATTTTTCCTCTTCATAATAGTTTATTTCGGTGATCTTTAATGTGAATTTAGCGCCCTTCAAAACTGGTGTGCTTTATAGACGTAAGAGCCGTTTGTGACGTCATAAAGTTAAATAATGCAAGCGAACATTGCGAGCGAAAGAAAGGGACAAATTAATTTTAAATGCACATTTGTTGCATTTTACGTTAATTCATCACGGGTAATTTTTTTATTAATGTAATTCAAACAATGTACATTTTGGTGTTCATAAAGTATTGAAAATGCATATAGTTCCTACTGTGTATTCTAACGCGTGGTGACAAGGTTTTGTGTGTGTTACAGGGATTTGAACGTCATGGATTTCTAATGGATTTCATAAAGGAAATTACACTTGAGTGTAAATATTAAGATTTGAACCAACAGCCTTTGAATTGTCCAATAAAACACTTTTGAAGATTTTCAAAGATTTTTTCTATGTATTCCTACATAAACTATGATCCCTTATTGTGGTTCCAACCTATTCCATGGGTGCCATGATTTGAAGAAACTTAAATGTACTGAGATCATCAAATATTCAATGTACCTTATTTTCCCAAGGTTGACATTTTGGTTTTTATAAGTGGGACATAGTTTTTGCAAATTTAATTTTTATTCTATACAATCTTTACTTATACAAATAAATCTGATAATCAAATTTTTGTGAGCAGATGGTTTTGTGAAATAATGTGAAAAAAAAGTTTTCATGAAGACTTGATATATAGACTTATAGCACATAATGTCAGGAATTTTTTCTATGAAGTTTCCACTTTTTTCCAGTGATACTTGGGAAGATTTAGAAAAACCCATCCAGCTTTTGTTTTTTTTCCCTAGTTTATCTCCCCTTCAAGAGGCTGTGGCCATTAGAACAAAGTTTTACCCCCCTCATCAGATGTTTTATAGGGGTTTGGTTGATATTGGTAACTAGACGTGGTGCTGGAAAAAAAATCATTTCAGACAGACAGACAGCTAGACAGATGAGTGGATAGAGGATGGACAACATGTCTGTAAATAGCTCAATAGCACAGGTGAGCAATTTTTAAAAAAATATACCCCCTACAAGGAAATAGAGAGCATTATATATAATTATACTGATTTTGTGTTTAGAATATTTGCCCTATCATAATTTGTACAATTTCTGTTTCACAATATTTGTTCAAATCAATACCTTCATCATATTTTCCTGACCCCTGGAATTCAGGATGCTTTTCTACTTCATATGTTTTTGGAGGATCTGAAAAATAGGAATTGTTGAGTTAATAAAAAAATAATAAAATTTACAGTAGTGTGCATCCTTAAATGTATCATCCTTGTGAGTTTCATCCAGGTAAAGTGAACTGTTACTTAAAAAACATAGGTAATCAGAGATTACAGAGCTCACCTCAACGAATGTTGTCTTTAAATAAGGCAAATTCACACAATTAACCAAAAAAAAGTGTACATTCCAAAAATAAAAATATTTAAGTAATTTTGATCTGATACTTTGAAATAGACCTACATAAAAAATTTAAACTAGTTCTTCTTCATGAAAATGTAATCAAAATCCAGCATCTGAAGCAAATTTGAGAATTTTCATCTCTTGATGAAAACTTTAACCTATTCACTCAACCAGAAAATGTAGGTCAGATTCAGCATCAGAAGCAAGCCTGGTAGTGTGCATCCTTAGATGTATCATCCATGCAAGTTTGGTCAACATAGGGCTTATAGTTACTTGGAAATGAAACATGCACCAAAAACTTTAATCTGTTCACTCAACCGGAAAATGTAGGTCAGATTCAGCATTTGAAGCAAGCCCGTTAGTATGCATCCTTAGATGTATCATCCATGCAAGTTTGGTCAACATAGGGCTTATAGTTACTTGGAATTGAAACCTGCACCAAAAACTTTAACCTGTTCACTCCACCAGAAAATGTAGGTCAGATTCAGCATCCGAAGCAAGCCTGGTAGTGTGCATCCTTAGATGTATCATCCATGCAAGTTTGGTCAACATAGGGCTTATAGTTACTTGGAAATGAAACCTGCACCAAAAACTTTAATCTGTTCACTCAACCGGAAAATGTAGGTCAGATTCAGCATTTGAAGCAAGCCCGTTAGTATGCATCCTTAGATGTATCATCCATGCAAGTTTGGTCAACATAGGGCTTATAGTTTCTTGGAAATGAAACCTGCACCAAAAACTTTAACCTGTTCACTCATCCAGAAAATGTAGGTCAGATTCAGCATCCGAAGCAAGCCCGGTAGTATGCATCATTAGATGTATCATCCATGCAAGTTTGGTCAACATAGGGCTCATAGTTACTTGGAATTGAAACCTGCACCAAAAACTTTAATCTGTTCACTCAACCGGAAAATGTAGGTCAGATTCAGCATTTGAAGCAAGCCCGGTAGTATGCATCATTAGATGTATCATCCATGCAAGTTTGGGCAACATAGGGCTTATAGTTACTTAGAAATGAAACATGCACCAATAACTTTAACCTGTTCACTCAACCGGAAAATGTAGGTCAGATTCAGCATCCGAAGCAAGCCCAGTAGTATCCATCCTTAGATGTATCATCCATGCAAGTTTGGTCAACATAGGGATTATAGTTACTTGGAAATGAAACCTACACCAAAAACTGCACCAAAAATGTTAACCTGCTCCAAAAACATTAACCTGGTCATTCCTTGCTGAAATTGCAGCATCTGAAACTTTGACTGAAACAATGAAACACACTAGAACCATCTTCCATGCATGTCTAATCAATATAAGACATAGAAGTACTTAAAAAGAAAACTGCTCCAAAAAACTTAACCTTAACCTGGGACGCCGACGCCGACGTGGACGCCGATGCTGAGGGTATTACATAAGCTCCCCCAACTTCGTTGAGGTGAGCTAATAAACCTGCTCCAAATACCGTTACTTGGTTACTAAATATTGAATTGTATGACACTCAGTATTACATGTTCCCCCCAACTTCCTTGAAGTGAGCTAAAAATACTTTTTTTTTAAATTTCTGTATAAAAAGTAACTTAGACCATTGATAGAAATGATCTTGACCATATAATATAATAAAAGATTAGATGTTTACAATTGGATGAATTTCATTCACATAAACATACATGTAAAAATGAACCTGCTCCAAAAACCGTTACTTGGTTACTAAATATTGAATTGTAGGACACCCAGTATTACATGTTCCCCCCAACTTCCTTGAGGTGAGCTAAAAATACTTTTTTTTAAATTTCTGTATAAAAGTAAATTAGATCATTGATAGAAATGATCTTGACCATATAATATAAGTTTAGATGTTTACAATTGGATGAATTTCATTCACATAAACATACATGTACCTTTATTCAGTACATAACATATGAGTGAAGGGAAAGCAGACATTTGAGTGAGTGCTTATAATTTACCTGTTCATAAAAAGAACATCTGCACCTAAATAGAGTACCTTGGAAGCAAGTATAAATCTTTAATAATTGTTAGGTATATGCTTTAATACGTAATAGTTTATTATAAATTTCAATTTGATATACCAGGTAATCCTGATTTTGATCCAAATTACACAGTCCTGATTTGCTCCAAAAATAACACTAAGGACAATGGCAAAAGGGAGATTTGTAGAGAGGCTCAACAAAAAGCAAAATGAATTATGATTAAAAAATTGCTGCTTTTAATGGATTTTTGAAAATGTCCATCTTTGCACAAATTCTTATTCTTGGGGAAAATATCAACATAAAAATACACAGCATACATGTATTATCTACTAGAAGGCTGACTCAAAAATGCAGAATTACCATGTCAGTACTACAGAATCAATATTCAGGTGACATACAACTCGTATACTACCATCATTACCTATTAATCATAATCTAAATACATAAGGAAATATCTTATTAAACATCTTCCTGGATCTAAGTGTGCAATTACAAATTCACTTTCAACTTCAAAATTGAGCAAATATATATTAAGCAAAGTTTATGTACACAAATGATTTTGATAGTGTATTGTCAAAAGAGCATCAGTTATGTCTATTGATATATAAAAAATTGTAAAATGAGGTTAGGAGAATGTTTATGAAATAACAATACAGTTCAAAATGCAACTTAGGGTAATCAATAACATTCTTATAAAATTACATGTATACCAGGCACTAACAGTTTTTTACTTTAAATTTTCACCTAATAGTTGGCTAGACATGAAGTTACCAAATCTGTGGGTCCAGTTTAGAAACCCCTAGAGATACCTCAGAACTAACCAGTAAAAACTACAAGCTGAACCCTGATTTTACTACTACACAGGCAGACAAACAGACAACTAGACACAGTGCTTCTTGTATCACTATAGCTTCATTACGGAAACATAAAATTTCAGTTGCAATCCAGTATACATATTTCATCTATAGATACATGTACCCAATACTAGTATTAGCTTTTCAGAAGGGGTAAAAAAAAAATCCTATCGCAATTTGTATGGTTGTTTTGTAAATCAAACTCTGGGGTAGCGAGTTCTCTATGGATTTGTAAGCTCTCCTAACCACATACATGTAATTCCAGACTTGCCTTGGCGATGGTATAATTCCTTGACACAGTTTCCATATAAAGTTTCAATTTCCTCCCTAATGGTCTCTTTGTTTTGATTCAATAGATTAGGTCCCTCTTCATCACTCACATTACCATAGAAACAACAGTCCTCCAACTGAATTATGGGTACATTTGGTGTGACATACTCTTCCTCTGTTATATATCGACTTAGCCTTTTCTCTGCCCCCTCCTTTGATCTTTCCTGAGCTTTTACCACCCCATTTGGATTTTTTATCAAAGGATTTCCATTCTGTAACACATTTTCTAAAATTTGTTTGTGATTCAGCATATTTCCACATATTTCCGTGCCACCATTATTGTAGATGTTGTCCACTTCTTCGTAAATCTCCTCCTCCTCATTAGGGGTTAAATCGTCCAGTATTGTTATGTAGGTATGTGGATCCTCTGCTGCTTGAGAAGTGCCACTGTTTTGATAGATACATTCCTTTTCATCCATATTTAACAGTAGGTCGCCAAGTGTCCACTTAAAATACATCAGTTAAATCGACACCTAACATGTACACTATTTCTACACAGATCGGACTGACGAAACTCAAATAGGAAAAACCACTTTATGAACACCACAATTTTTAACATTAATAGCCATAACACAGACACAAACCATGGATTAATAGCACTTAAAAGACATGTGAAGATCATTAATTTCCACAGAGAGGAACCTTAATGTAAAGTACGTTTACAACACACATGGTTCAAAAACTAGTTCCCATACTTAGCTCACAAACACCATGTCTTTATGCAGCCTAATTTCTATTCACATGTTTTGGGTCTCAAATTATGGTTTAAAATTGGTCATTTTGTATTACGGGCAAGCTCTTTCAGAGTATCCATTAATTAGCATTCTAGATTTAGTTCCCACAACAATGTCAACATATCTGTAGAACCAACATTTACAATTCTAAATCAGATAAAAAAATTTCATCCTGACATAAACTATAGAGATGGCTAAACTGGTACTCATTAAATTCACTTTCAGGAAATGTAGTTAAAGACTATGAGATGTATATACATGAATCATGTGTTATTACAACATATAATTTCCTCACTCAAACTTGAATTGTGGGTTATAAGAAAATAATTAATTAAACATTTTAAATTAAATCTCTGAACGACATTTACACTTATAGGATATGAGTACGCAAAGCAAATCAACATCATGTAAAGGAATTTGCTGGGGAAATTGAGCCTGAGCATTTTGTGTGGGTTGCACTTGAACTGCAGATATAAGCTTTTTGTGTTGCATTTGTCACTTACTCTGTGATATTCTAACAGTTTTCTTTTTTGTATCTGCTAAAATAACCCAACAGAAGAAGACATATTTTGTCATTCAAAGGCTTAATATCATGATAAAAAATGTATTAACCACTTAGAGCACTCTCTTTGTTAAACAATACCACTGTATTATACAAAAAATTAAATTGGTGTGGCCTTATAGTAATATTTTCCCTATATGACATATTTCTATAACTTTTTTATATACCTTTCCTGGTGTGTTTCTTTTTGTACATTCTCCCCTGCTCTGTGGATGCCTGTAGACTTTTCCCACTGTGGATGCCATACTGGTCCTCTGTTATGGGTTTCTGTCTCCGAGCTTTGAACAGGTTGAGGTGGTCGTAACTTCCACTGAAGTTCTCAGGTGTGTCATACAGAGACTCACCTGTAGTGGGGTCAATATGGCTGCTGTCTGATTCTGTAGGCAAACAATTATATTCAAAACAAAATGTTTCATACTTTAGTTCATATTAAGACCTTGTCTAATGATAATATATTCTTGAAACAAATAAAAGATTTCTCTAAATGATTTCGATAAATTTACAGTTCAAAGTTAAATGCATAAGCTTACTAGATTTGTACCACAATTTCAACTTGACATATAAAATATGATCTTTTTGAATTTTAGATCATGGTATTCAAACCAAGGGTCTGAAATCCCCTTACCTTTCCCATTTTCCATGTTGGGTGGTTTACTACCTCCCTTTATCGACTCTGTCGGGTCAGTGTAGTCGTCTGACCATGGTGGATCATAGGGAGAAGGTTTCTTCACCACTGTCTCTGCTACAGGGGCGACACATTCATATAGATTCTCTTCTGGGATTTGTTCAGAGACAAAGTTAGGATCCAGGTTACTATTCCTAGCCAGGGAATATATACTGGGTTTGACCATGCCTGGCAGAGGTTGAGGAGCTGTCTTGTAGGCTGAGGGTTTCCACGGATTCTTCTCCTGGGACGAGGAAAGCCCCTGAGTTCCTGACCTGGGGGAGGAGACATCCCCCGAGGAATCTGACCTCGGGGACTCGATTGTGTCAGCTGATCCAGAGTGAGGTGATCTTGAGTCCCGTCCCACTAAGTTGTATTCATCTATATTCCCCTCCCAGGATTCCACTATTTTTAACACATGACCAGGGGACCCGCTCTTTGATGATTTGTCTGAAGCATCACTGTCGTCATTACTGAGGGGTAGGGGGATAAGGGGAGGGGGGAGAGAATCCCCCGGGGCTGGTTTTAATTCTGGAATCACAGAAGGGGAGGAGTGTGGTTGTGTTAAGGTAATGGCTATGTCACTGCCTGGTTGAATCAAACTATTGTCTGCTGTATAAGTAGAAGGATTGGAATTTTTTGCATCACTTGGTTTGGCACTCCATGCATCACAGTACTGAGAGGACTGGTCTCCTTCAGGTGGTAAGCTGTCTGGTTTCAATTCTTCTCTCTGAACCTGAGAATGGAAGACACACATTTTTAATTTCATTGCTCATTAAACATATCTAAATAACTTTTAAAAATAATGCTTATACCTAACATGCTTACAATACACACTTAAGGTAGATCGCGGGTTTGCTGACGTCACAATAGGATTCGACGTAAAAAGCTTACTACGTTTACAGTATCAACTACAAACAAGCAAAAAGTATTTCCATCAGTACATTAAAGCTTGTTTTGTCTCTAAAAATATTTATTCATATGTAATAAAAGATAAAGGATTAATCAATAACCAATCACTACTAAATTAAATTAAGAATTAACATAACGTTAAAATATGAAAGGTCAAAATTTATTCAAGTAATATGAATCTGTGTTTCATTGAAAAAAGTGTGACAATTTAGGTAAATTATGACAATGTTTACATGAACATTTATTGCCAATCAATTAAAAATTGAAAATGCGGATAAAACGTTTTATTTTCAGTGAATTGTTGATTACATCGTGATTCTGAGACGTACGAAAATAATGACGTCGCACTAACATTATATAACGTCTTAATGAAATTATATACGTTTATTACAAATTTGTAAAACTTTAAAGTTTTTTTGCGAGAAAATGAGTGACAACACATATTAATTTTTTTTAATAGATCGATTCTAAATTTATCTCAGTTTCATTGTGTTGAGTAATATAAAATTCGTCTGCGCCGCTTTTATATAATAAGCATGGTTTTGAAATGCGTTTACCGATGAGAAAGGCGCATTTATTATATATTTCATTGTAATAGCGTCACCAGTTCTCATCAACATTAGTGCCTTTGAAATACGATAACAATATAACCACGCAGACGAATCTCGCAAAAATTTCAGAAAGTTAAATTTGAAACGAGAGGATTCAGTTGACAAATTTTCAGAGTATGTTTTCAAGCAGACAGTAAACCCGCGACCTACCTTAAATGTCTCTTTTTTTTCTGTCTAAAATTCAATGGATTATCCAAGAGTTATAATAATATAAAGTGGTTTTTAATTCTTAAAAATTTTGAAAGAAATTTATTTAGAAAACTTATTTATAAAAAATAAAAAACTGAACCTCCCACAAATATCTTTGCTTTGAAAGTGTGTTCGTTTCTTTGCAAAAAACATCCTGACTGAATACGTAGCTGTATAAAACTTTTTACTGAAGACTTACAGATATGGCATCTGTGTATTCATTATTCTCCAGGACCCCCTGTATGTCGTCTACAGTGTAACCCTCTCCATCAGAATCCTCCTCAGTGTGGAACCCTGATAACCTGGCCGCAGTCAGCATCTCGGTCTGAGACAGCCCCTGTATGGCCTCAGCCTGCTCAATCTACAGAATATTCACATTATCAGAACACTGTCATACAATTGTGTCACTGCAGGTCAATTAAGGTTTCTGAAACTAGCTAACATTAATAGTATATTGAAGTGAAATTCACACTGATTAGAAATAGTATTATAAAGCATGCACTTCTTGTTTGATTTCTTTAATTTGATATGGGGCATGCATCCCTTATAACTGCAGGATAGGCAAGTACCAGTCTATGAGCTTATTTAACTGATAACCTGTCTTGTTGGGATACTAATGCTTAATTTTGTGATCAGAAAAAAAATATATTCTTGATATTGTCAAACATATAAGAATCAAACATGTTCTTTCCTTAATGACAACTGAACCTCAGTTTATGCAAACATTTTAGTGTACTTTATAAACAATGTATATTCTAGTAAACTTTTAAAAGAGACATAATGAAGCTAGGTAAATAAGGTAATATTTTCTTTTTTTCTTTTAGCATAGATTATATTTCCCTACATTCAAATTCCCAGACCGCATGACTTCAATGAAAAATTCTTCTCCTATTTTAGTTAAACCACAGACTTAATATGTGTCATTTAACAATTGAATGAAGAATGCATGACCAAGAACACACACAAAAGTAGACTTATAGTAAATATCCTCATTGCTAGCTAGGGTTCTCATAGAAACTCAACTTGGTCAGGAAGTACATACCTCTACTTACATCCTAGATCATGTCTTTATAATGACGGAGAAACTCAGAAGAGATTTTTATCTAAAGAGTGCTCAGATACTTAAGCATAGTAGAAAAAATGTCATAATCATGAACTTTATTTATTGTGTGCCCTGCATATTTATTATATACCTAACGTGTATCACTCAATTTTACTGTTGAATTTACGCTATCATGCGACGTCCTGATCCGATTTTCCGGATCACCATACTGTGGTTTTCTGAACCCATATCACCACTCTCTGAAACTGATGACGTAGTACGCAAAAACATGACGTTATTTTTCTTGTGAGTTAAAATGTCCCTTGTTATTATGCTTTGGTTTATGGATAAATATTATACAATTGATCCTCAAAGTTTTATTTCAATATATTTAGCTATTTATATGGGGGTATATAATAAATTTATCATTATAACAGTAACTTGATCCGAAGAGCTGTATCACGTCTCGTTGACAGGCGCAGATCATCAGATCAAACTCAATGCTTCAGGTCTTGTTAGATCTGATGATCCGCGCCTGTCAACTCGACGTAATACGACCCTTCAGATCAAGTTACTGTTATGATAATATATATTTATTATACACCATGTACAGATGTACATGCAAGTTCATAAGAGGTTAACAATGAAGAGATGAGTTTTACTGCTGATAAGAAGAACATTATAATTTACAAATTTTTTTTGTCTTTCATATATTGATGAAATTGTAAATTCACAAAATAAATTGCATGTAAAATTTCTATAAATAAAATTATAACTGCAAGATTAAATTTGGAAGGAAATTCATGAAGTGTACTCAGAATGTTTTTGGCTGATTTTTGTAAAGAAAAGACACTAATATATCTTTTAAAATTTTCCCCTGTGCAATTCAATACTCTTCATATTGAAGACAGATTCAGAGGATAACTTAATTAGTACTTTCCCTTGTAACTTGAGACTCTTTAAAATTTGATGTGCTGTCATCTCCGTAAAGATACTGCACTGCATCTATCTCAGACATAAAATTGTTACTAATTCCTATTAAAATTGTTCATGACCACACTCCTTTTCCTTTCCAAAATGAATAAAATAATCTATAGGCTTCTGGGCCACAGTGCTCACCTGAGTCATGACCCGACCATTCTTCATCAGATTTATTTTCTCATTTTCCATCGAAAAATTTGATTCCTTGTTGTGACCCCACCCTACTGCAGGGTTCAGGATTTGAATCAACCTTCAACACTACCTGATCGAGGATGGTTCCATATCAGTATACTATTTGAGCCTTTTTCATTCTTGAGAAGAGTATTTTTAAGGCTGCTTCCAATGTTAATTCATAAGTTAAACCTTGATCATGCATCCACAGTGGCCTCAACCAACCCTAATAGGTCATGATTTGAACAAGTTTATTTAAAATTGGCCTAGATATTCTTGAGAAAAAGATGAAATTTGTGGGAAAAAATTGCAATGATGACTGTGTCTGTCACAGACAAATTTTGATCAAGAAAGCTCACTTCAGCCTTTGGTTCAGGTGAGCTAAAAAGGTATGGCAATATATAAATTATATGTCATTACCAAGGTTGTGCTCATTGAAACAGAGTCATATTCAATCAGTTGATTGATTTCCTCATCCATGACTTATTTTCATGTCAACCCTCTTCTCTTTTTCTTTGTCATACGTAAATTCTTTCTACCTACAATGACAAGTAGCAAGAACATTTGATTTTATAGAACATTTCTTCTTTGAATCATAATTAAGGTCTACCTCTTATTAATTCCCCAATGAACAACTGAACATTTATGAAAAGAATATAAAATATTTATTAAGATCGGCCATTGGACTTTGTGGACACCTGCGAGCCACTGTGCACATAAAACATAACAGATATCACACAGGTAAAGGAATTTCATTCAAAGACTTTCATGTCAAAAGTTTTCACCTATAATTTTTACTTCGTAGAGCACATTCTTCAATATCTTGTCATGTCTTTTTACCTGATCACGGGTTTTTATCAGCTTCGGCTACTGTTTATTTACCTGTCAAGCAATCCGGAAGTCCAATTCCATGTGTCGAAAGTTTGTAAGAAGGCGTTTGATTGGTTAAAATCAAATGGGATCATCTCAGAAGTTTAGTTCACATGCCGAAACATTGTATTCATTTCATGTTAGCTATTCATTTTGTGATTTAAAAATAATTGCAAGAAATTCAATGAACACAGTCGAAAAATAACGTGAATTTCATACTAATGTTCATCTTTTTTCTCGATCTTTGGTAAATATTAGTTGAGATAGTGCTACAAATTTGTACAGTAAATGACAATTAACACGTAAATGATAAAAATTACATAAATTCTATCACTTTTTCAGAGAGTAAACCTATTATGTATCTAATGTGGGATCAAAAATTCTTTCCACTAGCTCCTTTATCATTTTTATAAGTGGGCAAGGATCAGCTATTTGTAAATAATAACGGCCGTCACAGTGAAAAAAATTGTGTCAATATTTTTACATTTTTTCTAATTAAATACATTTATATTTACACACTCTTTCATGAATTTGATAAGAAAAGATAGTTGCATCTTTATTTTTTAAGAAAATCGCATCCAAATATAGGTGATCAAAAAGTGATGGGCGTTATGTTGACACATATAATGTGAATTTTTAAGTTATTTCGCATTACAGAGACCCAAAAAAAGACCATCATATGCATGGACCTGACCACACTTTTACTTGGGACGAAGTAGACAAATTTCTATGACCTATCTATAAAATTAATAAGGCACAATTAATCGTGACGGAGGTGACATCAATTTTTCCTACTATAGCATTTTCATCAATCGTTTTTCTGCACAGAAATCATGTTTACCGTGAGTTTTTTTCACTAAATGAGGAAATAACACTAGTTTTTCATTAAAAAAGCAGAACAGGATACATTAGATCTTTCTTGAAGAATTTTTTATCCTGTATAATAAACGGATGTTATATTTGACTTTTTGACACACAATTCAGAAATGGATGTTACAAATTGACAAACTAAAGTAAGGTAGTTACGGAGGTTACATTGACGACGCTTTGTAACGCATTTCGTAAGTTTTGTTAAGAATACACACGACTTTATACATGCAATGAAGTTAATTTGTCAAATACAACTCCATTCAAACATTCTGCTAATACTAATGAAAACTACTGAAAGTATTTCCATGAATTTTAAGCGCTGTGACGGATGTTACATTATAACATCCCTCACAGTTTTTCGTGGTAAGGATATTTTAACTCTCATCAGCTTTGTAATTTTTATTTAGTAATTTTATTATTTGTTCTTCATTAATATACAACTGAAGTTTACTAATAAAATTTTATCTTTAACAAAATAATAAGAAAAAAATCTTGTATCAGCAAGGATTTAAATTTGGACAATGGTCAAATAATAACAGGCAATCAGCCAAGAAAATCATGAGGAGCTGGTAGCATAGCATCTGAAAAGAAAATAAATGAGTTTTATTATAATCAAAAAGAGCAAAATTGTAGGAAATGGTGTTTTAATTTAGGGATTTGAATTTTAATACATACCTTCAAAATGAAAAAAACTTCTTCGGCCTCTTTTTTCTTCCACGGGATCTGCCAGTTTTACAAGAACATCACTACTCTCAACATCGTAAACAATATCTTGTTTGATCCATCTCTCACTCCTTGCAAGATATTTGAAATATACAACAGCAGGCCAATCAACCACCTGTAAGATATATGTCCAAGATATAAAAACCAAAATTTTATTTTAAAAAAAATCATCATTAAAAGAAATGGATTTTTAAATGTTCCTCTTCCAAATTTCTGCAATTCTTTTCAAAATGAACAGGATTCATTGTTTCTGTTTGTTTATTTGTTTGTTTTTTGTTATTTGCTCATGTAATGTACATATTAAGGCTTTGTTGGTGAATGTGTTTAAAAATATTGCAAAAATCTACAAATTAAATATAATCAAAAATAATAAATTAAACATATCAAAAACAAATCAAGAACATAACCAAACCATTATTTTAATTATTAACATTAACTTACAACTGCTGGTAAAAGTTGGGTTCCGTGTTTAATTAAAACATAAGTCCCTGTAGAAAATCTTTTAAAAAATTACATTGATGGGTTAAATAACTTTCTACAACCATGTATATTCAATATTAAATAGCATTCAAAAGACAAGAATATGAAGTTTAACTTACAAATCCTGCTGAGAAGTAGCCTCCTCTGTCAAAGCATCTGTCTCTTCTGTATGTTTGTCCTCCTCCCTTGTCACTGCATACACCTCCTCTGTAAGTGTGTCCTCGGCAGCCCTTGTTACTGCATCCGGCTCCTCTGTTATTGTATCTTCCTTCCTTGTTACTACATCCACCTCTTCTAAAAGGGCATTCTTGTCTCTTACTGCATCCATCTCCTTTATATGTCTGTCTTCCTCCCTTGTAACTGCATACACCTCCTCTGTAAGTGTGTCCTCGGCAGCACTTGTTACTGCATCCAGCTCCTCTGTTATTGTATCTTCCATCCTTGTTACTACATCCACCTCTTCTATAAGGGCATTCTTGTCTCTTACTGCATCCATCTCCTTTATATGTTTGTCCTCCTCCCTTGTAACTGCATACACCTCCTCTGTAAGTGTGTCCTCAGCTGCCCTTGTTACTGCATCCAGCTCCTCTGTTATTGTATCTTCCATCCTTGTTACTACATCCACCTCTTCTAAAAGGGCATTCTTGTCTCTTACTGCATCCATCTCCTTTATATGTTTGTCCTCCTCCCTTGTAACTGCATACACCTCCTCTGTAAGTATGTCCTCAGCTGCCCTTGTTACTGCATCCAGCTCCTCTGTTATTGTATCTTCCATCCTTGTAACTACATCCACCTCTTCTAAAAGGGCATTCTTGTCTCTTACTGCATCCGTCTCCTTTATATGTTTGTCCTCCTCCCTTGTAACTGCATACACCTCCTCTGTAAGTGTGTCCTCAGCTGCCCTTGTAACTGCATCCACCTCTTCTAAAAGGGCATTCTTGTCTCTTACTGCATCCATCTTTTTTATATGTCTGTCCTCCTCCCTTGTAACTGCATACACCTCCTCTGTAAGTGTGTCCTCAGCTGCCCTTGTTACTGCATCCAGCTCCTCTGTTATTGTATCTTCCATCCTTGTTACTACATCCACCTCTTCTAAAAGGGCATTCTTGTCTCTTACTGCATCCATCTCCTTTATATGTTTGTCCTCCTCCCTTGTAACTGCATACACCTCCTCTGTAAGTGTGTCCTCAGCTGCCCTTGTAACTGCATCCACCTCTTCTAAAAGGGCATTCTTGTCTCTTACTGCATCCATCTCCTTTATATGTCTGTCCTCCTCCCTTGTAACTGCATACACCTCCTCCATAAGTGGGTCCTCAGCAGCCCTTGTTACTGCATCCACCTCTTCTAAAAGGGCATTCTTGTCTCTTACTGCATCCATCTCCTTTATATGTCTGTCTTCCTCCCTTGTAACTGCATACACCTCCTCTGTAAGTGGGTCCTCAGCAGCCCTTGTTACTGCATCCACCTCTTCTAAAAGGGCATTCTTGTCTCTTACTGCATCCGTTTCCTTCATATGTTTGTCCTCCTCCCTTGTAACTGCATACACCTCCTCTGTAAGTGTGTCCTCAGCAGCCCTTGTTACTGCATCCATCTCTTCTAAAAGGGCATTCTTGTCTCTTACTGCATCCGTTTCCTTCATATGTTTGTCCTCCTCCCTTGTAACTGCATACATCTCCTCCATAAGTGGGTCCTCTGCCCTTGTTCTTGCATCAAACTCATCCAATATCACAACCTCCTTCCGTCTTTCTGCATCCAGCTCTTCTGAAAGTGCAGTCGCATCTCTTGTTCTAACACTCTTCTCCTTCTCAAATTCCAATTGCTCTGGCATATCCCTAAATATAAATATTTAAATTTTCAAAAATTATTTCCCAGTTCTGTACAAATCAATGATTTTATGATAACTTTACTTACAGTAGCATCAAAAGTGCACTTATGTCCAATCCATCTGCTGAGCTGCAATACACAAAAAAAAGATTTTATTTTTCACTTTGTTGGAAATTTTGCATATTTTTTTTTTAATTAATTTGAAAAGATACCACTAAATAGATTTTGACACATACATGTCTCCTTCAAGCTCATTTTCTTCAAACATTATCTGGCTACTATCACTTGACTCTGCAAAACAAATTTAAAAAAAGAATAATAATGCTATCAAAATGAAACAAAACACAAATGAATAAAATTATATTTAAAAAACAAAACAAAACAAAATCACATCTGATTTGAGAATTTCATTACACATATATTATGCATTCTGAAAAGTAGAGATACCTTCTGAAGAACTTGCTCTTTGACTTTGTATACCTCCCCTGAGTCTTTGAGCACCTCCTCTGACCCTAGGCCCACCTCTCCTGACTGTGGGATCACCTCCCCTGACCCTGGGACCACCTCCTCTGACCCTGAAACCACCTCCTCTGACCCTAAGACCTCTTCCCCTGACTGTGTGACCACTTCCCCTCACCCGTGGACCACCTACTCTGACCCTAGGAGCAGTCCCCTGATTCTGGATCCCTATTTCTGCATCCCTATTGATGTCTCCTAAATCTGGTTCTTCATTTCTGGTTCTGGCGCAAGGTCCCTCTCCTCTTCCTCTTCTTGTTCTTCCTATTCTGTTTATGTTTCTGTGTCTAAATCGCCCTTCACTAAAAGCAGAATTTCATAGTTTGGGATTCCAACATAAAAAAGGTTTCAACGTGGCAACGTTAAAGCATATAAAATGATTATAAATCAGTTTTTCACATTAGCTGTTTTGAATATTTAATCTTTGAAAACAAACTTACCCTACTTGCTGCATATTTTGGATTATCCAAGGACCAACATAATCTTTGTTTATACAGTTTGTACCATCATTCACACAGTTGTCACAAAAACAACTCAAGTTTCTTGTAGCTATTTTGTTTCTTTCAATGCTTCTGACACACTGAAGTTTACGC